TTGAGGTGAACCACTTGATTCGAATAAGTGAGCTGAATCATTCGATTCGAATCAGTTATCTGAATCTCTTAATTCGAATCTGTGATCTGAATTGCATGATTCTACTCACTAATCTGAATTGCGTGATTCGAATCACTTCTATGAGTCCTTCCATTCGAATCACTTGACTCGTATAGTAACTTGAATCACTCTATTCGCCTCAGTGATTCGAATCACTGATCAAAATCGCTTAATTCAAATCACTGATTCAAATTGCTTATGTTTCAAATTACTGATCTGAATCACTTATTTTGAATCAGATATCCGAATCGTATGATTCAAATAGTGATTTGAATCGAATCTCTGATCCGAATTTCGTCTTTCAAATGACTTATCTGAATCACTTGATTAAAATAGTGATTTGAATCACTTGATTTGTATCTCAGTGAGCTGAATCATTTGATTTGTATCACAGTGAGCTGAATCACCTTATTCGAATAAATGAGATAAACCACTTGATTCAAATCAGTGATCTAAATCACTTAGACTTAGAGGTTGGGCAGCTCTGACGAGCAGGGCACATCGACCAGAGGTCTATTGTACCCAAACCCTAAAATCATGATTAGCATGAAAGCCCTATGGCTGAAATAAAATTCAGCAAGCACCTTACAGGAACATCTTGCAGTTCCCAGGCATTGACAATATGCTGTCCTAAATGCTCAAATCTTTGAGCAGAATAGACCTCACAATCACAGAGTATGTGTCGTGATGTCTCTTCTTCTAGATGACATCCCCGACAAAGAGAATTTGATTCAATTCCCATAATGTTTAGGTGTCTTCTGAGGATACAGTGACCAGTAAGAAGACCAATGATCTTCCTTATACTGTTTCTGTTAAGCTTTAAGAGCTCCTTTTGACGTACACTAGGACAGTCTCGATTCAGCTCCTTAGCTTGTCTTTGACCGTCAGCAGCGCGCCACTGCTCATGGGCGATCTTGCCGTAGAGCTTGAATATGGTTGCCCTAAATGAGGAGGGAGAAATTCCCAGCGCAGGTTCAGGGCCCCAGAAAATTGCATTAGAGCCAGCCCGTGCTGCTTCGTCAGCTAGCTCATTTCCACCGATACCCATATGTCCTGGTACCCAATGCAGGGATACCTTGTTATGAGTGGACAGGTCACAGAGGACCGAGAAGCATTCCCACACTAACAAAGAGGTGAATTTACACCTTGACAGTGATAGGAGAGCAGCCTGACTGTCAGAACAGATGCGGATAGTCGTATTTTGATATCCTTTGTCTATGCATAACTTGCAGCACAAGATAATGGCATAGACCTCAGCCTGAAAAACGGTGGCATAATTTCCCAGGGGAAAGTGAAGTTTGGTACCATCATTGGAGCAGTAAATTCCTGCTCCTGATTTGGCACCAATCTTTGACCCATCAGTGTACCATATCAGGCATTTGCCTTTAAGCCACCGAGGAGAATTGAACCATTCATCTCTAGTAGGAAAATGGATCTTGAAGGGCTTGTGAAAAGCATATCTTAGTGACATATAATCACTAGGCATAATAAAAGAGGATAAATCCTTCACTTGTGAAACAAGATGTCCCCATGACAAGTGTTTGGAATTCTCTTTCCATAGGCCAAGGTACATAAGACGCTTTACGCCTGTCTGAGCTTCAACTTCAATGCGTAAGTTCAATGGAAGAAGCCCAAGTAAGCTCTCTAGAGCAGCTGTAGGAGTGGTCCTGAGACAGCCTGACAGGGCTACACAGACCATTCTTTGTAGTCTGTTAAGATTAGACCTTGCAGAGCTCAATCTAGTCCTTGACCACCAGACGATTGCGCCATAAGTGATGATAGGACTAATAATCATTGAGTATATCCAGTAGACTATTTTGGGGGACAGTCCCCATGTTCTACCAATAGCATTTCTACAAGACCAGAAAATTTTTCTGGCCCTGTTGGTGCAGTATTCAAGTTGAAGACCCCAATTTAGTTTGGAGTCAAAATAAACCCCGAGAAACTTGACTTTCTCCGTGAGTTCCAATTTATGGTCCAGGTAGTATACATTACCTAGATCAAGTTGCCTTTTCCGTGTAAAGGCTACATAACTTATCTTGAATGGATTGACAGATAAGCCTGATTTAAAACACCACCTAGCTACTTCTAGGAGTGCATTATTCATGATATCAGAGACAGTTTTTCCATGTTTGCCTCTGACAACAATAACACCGTCATCAGCGTACCCGATACAGGGAATGCCAAGAGCAGTTAACCGAACTAACAGGGAGTCCATTACCATACACCATAGGATAGGGGACAAAACCCCTTGGATCGTCGGCACTGAACGATCTTGGAAGAGAACTACCATTTTTTCTATACGCATCTTGCTCCTGTCTCAACTTCCTCTCAGCCGTCAGATCTGGATGGAGTCTATCTAAGACGGTCCTTAGCTTCCTCNCCAAATGCTATGCAGGATCGAAAAATCCTACATAGAATAGGGGCCAGTGTATTCACCCCCTGGATAAGCATCATTGGTATGATGTTGTCCATGCCTGGTGACTTGTAGGGCTTAAAAGACTTTATGGCCCATACAACCTTCTCATAGGAGACCACCATTTTGGCGGCCTCCCAGTCATTCCTACTACAAGTAGTTGTGGTAGTAATATGTAGATTTTCATTCTCCACAGGATGAGATCCAGGGAAGTGTGCTTCTAGTAATTCTCTAAGAGCCTCTTCTCCTGATTCACTGTATCTTCCGTTTGCAAGACGGATAGCATTTAAACTGCAATTAAAGTCTTTAGTAAGAATTTTTGCAATCTTTGCGGTGGCAGAATTAGTATTAATGCCATCGCAGAAAGTCTGCCATGAGCGACGTTTAGATGCTCTGATCGCCTTGTTATAAGCAGTTAGAGCGTTTCTGTAGGACTGCCATTCTCCAGATTTCTTCGCTCTGTTAAATAACTTCCTACATTTATTACGTAATTTACTAAGCTCAGAAGACCACCAAGGAACTCTCCTTGGGGAGCTAGTAGACGTAACCTGACAAGAAATATGATATAAATCGAGTATGATCTGTTGCACTTGGTCAACAGTCCACTCCACATCATCACTAAATCACTTGATTGGAATCAGTGAATTCGAATCACTTGATGATCCGGATCAATAATCAGATCGCTGATCCGAATCACTTGATTTGTGTCGGTGATGGTCATGGATTCTAAGATTCCACTATTTCGTGATCAATGCCATGATTGTGGCTGCATTGCGAGGAGGCCGCCTTTACTTTCTATGCAAACTGGTAATTACGCTATGTATAGTAAACTTATTTTGTTTTTGAAGTTATTTTTTTTATATTTTTCTTAAATAATAATTTAATATTCTATAAAAATAGCTATGTTAACTCAACATAGGCAATTAAACTCATGAATACTAGGATATGAAAGGAACATTAAGAGCTGAATTTTTACTAAATAACGTCTTTAAAGAAAAACATTTAACGAGTTCTTATAGTGATATGATCCTATTGAGATACAATCAATCCTATTTCCTCTTCCATTTTCAAAACCATAATTTGCTCAATAGAGGATATAAAAAAAATCAGATTTCTTCTCCAAACCGACCGTTATTAGGTGCATCCTGAAGGTTTTACTTAGCGTTACTGCTAAGCATTTCTGTAGTGTTGTCAATTGGATGTCCGAGTTAAACACTTGAAACTTCTGCCCGTGAGAATATTGACATGTTAGGTTTTTTTTTTTTTAAATTCATATTTGTTATTATTGTTTTATAACTTCGGATAGCACATTAATTATTGTATACATAATTATTTTTTTCTGTCATCTGTTATGTTTATTTGATACTATTAACGAAACAATCTTTTTCATTTGAAAAAATTTAGATTCCTCAGAGTTGCGGTATCATTTGCAAGTTTTGCCTGATGTGGAATCTTGCAAAACTAGCAATAAAAGCAGACGATGGAGCAAATTGTAGCTTTCTCTTTTTATAAGTGATACCTCTCTGATTCCACTAAGTTTTTTTCCCCTCGTTCACAATAAATTTTGTACTCAAAATGTTAATTATTCTTATTCATGAATTTTAAGCTAAAGATTTTTTTTTAAATTCACTTGATTTCATTATATCCGGTCTTGTATTGGTTTTTAACATTTATGTTAGTGCTTCTTTTAACTATCGTTTCCGTTTGGAAATTTTTAAATGTTTTTATTTAATTTGATTAATAAGTTTTCCTTGTAATTTATCGATTTCTTTTTTACTTACAATTAGGTATGAAATATATTACAATTTTTTATCATTAATTCTATTTTATTTTAATTGATTTGGAGATTTTAATAAATCTTAAGTTTATTGTAATTTGGTTTTATTTATTTAATTATAATTTTGCTTACCTTCAATTAAATAAATAGTATCTTCAATTATCTTATTTATTTGTTAGTTTCTTTTTGTGTTAGTCTCTTATTTATCATTAAAATAAGTTTTTTTTATTAATTTCGCGATTTTACCATCGCAATTTATATTTATCAATTTTATTAATGATTCATTTTTTTAAAATAGAAAATCTTATTATGTTGCATTTTTATAATTATTTTTCCGTTTTTGCTTCTTAAAACGTTTGTCAGTTAATTAAATACGATTTAATTTCAATTAAATACAAATATTTGAATATTGATTATTGTATAATATTTTTATTAATTTAGTATTTTTAATATTTTCTAGGATGGCTTTGTTGAAAAGTTGTTATTTTATTAATTAATAAGTTATTCTTTTTATTTCGGTTTCTTGCAGCTTTGTTTCATTTTTAAGGATAATTTTATTATTTATTTTATATTGTTAAATTTATCATTGCTAAAGGTTAAAAATATTACGTTTTTATCGTTTAATTAATTAATTTATTTATTATTCTTTTTTTGCTTGTTTGTTGTTAAAATCAATAGTTTTTTTTTCTAATTTCCTTAGTTTACTTAGATTTAACTATATTGATTTTTAAACATTTTATTTTTCAGATTCATATTTCTTGGCTGAAATATCTAAGTTCTGGAACTAAAATTCCTGGTGAATGTCTTGCAAATGCGTTAGCAGAAGACAATCTTATATATCTATTTTCTATATTAGACACACAAGAGAATTGTGTTTGGAAATTTATTACTATAAATTTAATTAAAAAAAAGGAGGGAAATGTTTCTAAGTAAGTTATTTATTTAGTAGATAGCCTTAACATTTTATGAAAAATTTATATCCCAGCTGTAGGAAATCATAATTATTTATGATTCTTTGCCAAAAAGTATTATTTTTTTCTCCAGAATTATATATTTTTGGCGTTGTGACCTTGGTTTTTTAAAAAAATTTATAAACATTCATATTTTTGTTAATTTTTATAGTGTCTGTGTATATCACAATGTGACTTTTATTGCACTTTCTTATAAGTCTTAAAGTAGTATTTTATATATATACAGTGTAACGTCCCATATCCGGACGTCCCTTTTCCGGAAGGGTCAATTTCCCGGACACTTTTTAACAATCAAAATAAACAAACATTTCTTCATCTTCCCCACTCTCTTAAAAAAATAAAGTATTTTGACAGGTTTTTTCCTTTCTTAGCTTCTAGTGATCTATGCATTAAACCCATAAATCAACAGAAAAGAGAACAGAAGATCTACCAAGNATTATTGCAAATTTTTAAAAAATAGCATTTTTTTAGCTTGTATATATATTTTTTTGTTAAATATTTTAATATAATATAAAATACAATCAAAGATTTTAATTTTTGTATTTTGAGCTTACAATTAGTTCAAAAGAATATGAGCATAAATGTGGCGTAATGCCTGTTATATTATTATTATAAGTACTATTTGAATATTACATTACATAATACAGCAGAACTCTGATAATACTGCATCCACAAGGGCAGGAATACCGCTGTTGTTAAAAGTTCTAGGATGGCAAGTTTCTTCCACAGTGGAAAAAATCATAGACAAAACTATGGTTAAAAGCAGAACCTCTTAATTATATTGATTTCTCTGTAAATATTTGCCTCAACATTTGCTATTCAAAGCCAGGAAAGTGGTTCAGCTGGTTCTGTTACCTAACAAGCTCTGCTTGGAGTTTAAAAACCATATCTGTTTAAATTTATAACAAAGTTGCTGTGAATATTTCAGCTTTCACTTAACAGTTAACTTTGGTCACAAAAGGAAAAGGTAATTTAATAATTTTAATTTCCAAAACTAGTTACAATTAGAAATTAAAATAATTTTAATGAATTTCTTAAGAAATCAAAAATAATTGTAATTTGTTCCAATGTTTTATGGAAGAAGTATAGTAAAATAATTTCATTATTACATAAATAGTTGTTTAAACATTATTATCAACTTTTAAAATGCCATTAAAATAACAAATCACATGCTTATTGTACTTTCTACTACAAATCACATTTTGAAATCTCAATTGCAAATAGCATACTAATTTTTATAATGAAATACTGTGAAATATGAATACTGAAACCAAGTCTTAGATTCTATGTTATATAGGTTTTATAATTCTGTATAAAATAATTTGTTTAAATTCAAATATGTTCTTGTAATATTGCTAAACAATTCTATTTGGCTATTTTTAGTATCACCCATTTCATTCAGTTTTTTTTTAAAATTTGTTTTGGTTTTATTCATATTGGTCATTTTATTCATTTTATTTCTGGAAAAATAAGTTTTTTCTAGTAAATATTCCTAACTAATATAAAACCAAAATTTCTTGACAATCGGAAATAAAAAAATTTTACTATATTCTCCCTTTTTCTCAAGAAAGACCATCTTTCAGCTTGCCATTTATGATTTTTGAGCCCACGTTGTATGGTGAAAGTTTTTTGTTTTTGGTAAATTCTTTTACCCTTTACAGTTGGAACCATTAGTTTTGTCACACCTTGCATACTACTAGTAGCTATGTAATTGATTAACTTGTTCTCAGTCAAAAATTCTTGCAACAAAATTTTATATAGCTAACTTTATTTTGGTTGTAAGGGACAAAATTCTATTTTTTTAAAACCAAGTATTGTTCAGAGGGTTCAATAATTGAAGTTTATTATTTTTGTGAAATATGACTAATTTATATTTATTGATATAATATGCCAATAATACTTACTTCTTTGATGATGTGATCCCTAACATACATTTTTTTAAACAATTTCTTTAAAAAAATTTATGTTAGGGAGGTATGTTTCACCCTTTCATGGGGAAATTTGACCTTGAGACTTAAATGGTCTCAACAGAAAATTAAAGTACCACTAATCATTTTATTTGTTTAAGTGCAATAGCTTAGCTGTTTTCAGGAATTTAATTATTCAATTTTAAAAAAAAAATTGGCAAGTCTACCATACAAATTCAAAATAAGTTTCAATCATTTTACTTAAATATTAGTTTACTAAAATATGTGAAAAACATATATTACCAGCAGTAAGTTAGCAAACACGTTTTTTAAGCAACTCTCCCAAGTAAAAACATCAGATTGTGTAAACAAAGTATTTCTGACAGTTTAAATAGATTTAACTTATACTTTTCTCAAAAAAAAGAAGAAAAAGCTCAAAATCTTTTTTGAAAATTGTAGCATTACTGACAATGAAAAATAAAAGTAACCAATTTTAAGGAAATAAGGTCCTTAAAAAAGGTAGTTCTCCTTAGACTGCACCAAAACTATTGCTGTTCAGTGATGATATTTATCTATTTATGTCATGATGACATCATATACAGGTTTGTGTTTTTGTATTTTTAAATAAAAAAGTTAATCATCTTGACAGGAAAAACAACTTTGCTCAACAAACTTTTCTCTTTTTCCCCCCTTAACATTCTAGTTGAAAACAAATTACTAAAATCAACTCTTGAAAATAAAATATTTCTAACATTTGTGTATAGTTTTAATTTTTTGAAAATATATTTGATTGTAGCAAATCTTTTTCAGGGTTGAAGGAAAAGAAAAAGACCCAAAATACTTTTTTAAATTTTCTTTTTAATAAAGTATGCAAAGAAAGACAATATTTGTTCAATATATGTCAACAAATAGCTCACAGCCAATAGCACACAAACATTTATTTCACATTTTTCAATAAATATATTTATAATTTTTAAAATAAATGTTTATTTTACTCTATCTATTTACTTATATTTTTCGTACTTCAAATAAATTTTTTTATGTGTTTAAATTAGTATATTTTTATAAAGAATTCTAAAAACTTTAAAAAAAATTTGTAAAGGTTTTTTAATATTTTTCATAAATATTTTTCATTTTTAGCTTTTTAGTACTTATTAGTTATTTCTTACCTATAATGTCATTTCATTTTTAATGTATAACTGTATTTGTGTCAGTTTTTTCCCCTTTAATATTATGAAATGAAAAAAGGGTATTGTAGTTTTCTTTTATTATACGAGGGCGTTTCGAAAAGTAACGATGCAATGGATCGTATTCCTTAAAAAAAATATTTATTTAGAAAACGTCAGTTGCATCTTATTAACTCTATTATTTATTATTTTTCGACATAATCACCCCCGTTATCCAAACAGTTGTTAAGTCGGTGCACAAGCTTTTGTATCCCACAGTCATAGAAGGTTGCCGCTTGTTGTCGGAACCACATTTCTACCTCATCTTTGATCTGATCGTCGTGGAATGATTTTCCACCAAGATGTGACTTCAGGTAAAGGAATGATTAGAAGTCGCTGGGCGCAAGGTCCGGGCTGTATGGCTGTATGGCTTGCCATTTGAATTGTTTGAGTAGTGCTTTGGTTATGAGCGCTGTGAGAGGCCGAGCGTTGTCATGAAGCAAGCGGACTCCATTTGTCAGCATTCCCCTGCGTTTGTCTTGAATTGCCCTTCAAAGACGTTTCAAAGTCTGGCAATATGCAGCAGCATTAATTGTCGTTCAGTGAGGCATAAATTCTAGCAGAAGAATGCCTTGTCTGTCCCAAAAAGCAGAAGCCATGATTTTTTTCGCTGAAATCGAAGTTTTGAATTTCTTGGCTTTGGGTGAATTCGAATGGCGCCATTGCATTGATTGTTGCTTGGATTCAGGTGTATGGCGATAAACACACGTCTCATCACCTGTCACAATGTAATCAAGGAACTCATCACCTGCTTCTGCATAGCATGTGAGGAAGTTGAGTGCAAAGCCCATCCTTTTCTTTGTGTTCTTCTGTTAACATTTTTGGAACCCAGCGCGCACACAATTTCCTGTACCCTAACTTGACAGTCACAACTTCATAAAGAGTTGTCATTGACACTTCCGGTATGATCTGATGCAATTCTTTCAATTTGAGACGTCTATTTGCACGAATTGCTTTCTCGGTTTTCTGAAGAAGGGCATCACAGATGGCCGACCTGTTCTTTGTTCGTCATGAATATCGGTCCTACCTTCAGAGAAATGACGACACCACTTCGTTACATTTTGTCTATTCATAACGTTCCCATAAACAGAAACAATTTCTTCGTGAACATCTGCTGGTCTCTGACCTTTTGCATGAAGAAAACGTATGACGGAGCGCACTTCGCGTTTGACGGGATTCTGAATCACCGCAGCCATTTTAAACACAACCTACTCCAACAAGAATTAACATTTAAATGCCGAACGACCGCGAGGAGAAGGCTAACGGTTCAAGGTTAAAACCTGTGTTGCCAACTTGCTTGCCAAAACTTTTCTTTTCCTCTGGCGTACGGTGTATCTTTACTTTTCGAAACACCCTCGTACATAATTTGAAGCAATTTTCAGCAAATTTAATTTGTCTCATATGTTAGGGAAAACTGTTCTTTTCTAATCAGTTAGATAAAGAATTTTTCTTAAGTTCTTCTTAAATATATTTTTCTATTTAGATCCTTTTAAAACATACACTTAATTGTAAAACTTATACTTAGCATTTTAATTTTATTTATTTACTTTTAGTTTTTCTTGTTCATAATGCATATTATTATTATTAAAAGGATTTTATTTTTCATATAATATGCACACACAAAGCCACTAGAACATCACAATGACTCCCTCCCCTTTCTTTTTATTATCCAGCACAAAACTTGTTGGGAATAACCAAGAAAACCTTTCAGTGGCCTGAAACTATAGCACATTTAAATTCATTACCACATAATATAATAAAATTTCTGAAATTTTTTTTGTTTGAAATTAAGATTTTACGCTACACTCAGTGCTCAGACTACTAACTTTCATTATTTAGATATTAAGTCTTTTTTTTTTTTGTCTAATCTTAGGACATTGGTTTTTTTCTTAACTAAGTGCATTAATGTGTGAATCCATGCGCACATTTTATACAACTCCCAACACTGTTTTTTCTTGATTAACAATTTTGTAGTATGAGTTTATTCAGTTTGTCATTAATTCTTTTTTGATAACTTTTTTTAAAAATTTTTTGCTGGTAATGTCTGGTAACCAAGAAAAGAAATGCTTTTTATAAAGCATGTAAATGATTTCAATTGTTTATTTTTAGAGTAACACGTTTTTTTTTTTTTTTTTTTTAAATTTTCTGTGTTTGTAGCAGTTTTAGGATATCATGACAAGAGTTAATTTCTTGATATTTTAAAAACTCAGTTGTGTACTCAGACATTTCAGAGTTTTTTATTCATTCTTTTGATAAGATTGATACAAAACAGTCTGAAGTTAGAAGCAGTAAATATAATGCCTACAGTGTGTTTTCCAAGTTTATGCAGATGGCATTATTCATTCCTCATAGCAATGCAACCTAAGAGAAAATTTTCAGTTATGTAACAAAACTCCAGACCCTATTCTGTTCTTCTTTATCAAACAGATTTATGAAAATTTTTTGACTGTGAAGGCAAACCCGAAAAGGCTGTGTTTTCAGAAAAAGTTATATAAAACGTTTTGAAAATTGCTTAATTGATAATTCAGTCTGTTTTAAACAATAGATTTGTTTAATTGTAATTTTCTGGGGGTTATGCAAGAAAAGTTTCTTAGCTGAATTTAATTTAAAGATTGTGCCAATTTATTTAATTTACCTCATTGCACTAGACCATTTTCTCAAAAAGTCTTAAGCTTTTTTAAATTTTTGAGGTTAATTGGTCTGCTTTCATTTGACTTAATTTTTAGCATCTTCAATAGTAAGATATTTGTTAAAAATTGATCATGTAATCACTAATCTTTTTAAATATAGTTGTAGTAAAATGACTAACTAGAAAACATGTTGCATAGTTCCAAATTCTGTTAATATCATTAGGAATTTCAAGGAGAATTAACAAATTTCTGTTTTAACTATTGAGTTGAATTATCCATGTTTAATTTCAAAGTGCCTTAATCAGTAATAAAATAATAATATGAAGTAAATAAGTTTTATTGCAATTTATTATTATAGGTTTCATAATTCTGATGTGTCTTTGCCACAATCTCTTTCTTATTCACAACTTATTCATTATGTGACAAAAACAAATTACAAAAATTTGTGGGAAGAAGCCTGGAAAAAATATCACTTAGCAGATAGTACTAAGAAAGCAAAACCTAAAGTGGTAAGTCTGAAGTGCTTCTTCTTTTATGCGTTGAAAAGGACATACAAGTTCTAGAATAAGAAATATAAGTATAAATATTTCAAATTCTGTAATTTGGCAAATATATTATTCTTTACTAACTAAGTTAGAACATAAAATAACTTTTAAACAAATTGTTAGAAAAATCCCAAACAATTGTGAAATTACGCTCCTGATGAATAAAAAGCAAAAAAATAAAAAATTCGAAATTATTCGCTAAAAATTATAGTTTGTATTTTAAGAAGTGAAATAAAAATCATCTAAAATTTCCTAGAGTTCAAAAAAATTTTGTAAGACATCACACTAAGTCAGACTGTTGTTTTTACTTTAACGTTGATTAATATTTTTTAATCATTAAATTGTTACATTAATAACTGTTTTAATAATTTGCCAATTTGTTTTAAGTTAAAAATTGCAAACCATTTTTCAATAAAAAAAAAAGCTAAAGTTAGTTTTAAAGTGTGTTCATCAATAATTTCTACAGGAACTTATAACTAACTCTCTAGAAAATTTCTATGAATATCTTTATGAGATCTTATTTTCTCATTTAAACTTTGTTTTATAGTATTTGTGGCAATGATACTTTTTTATGCTAATATGCTTTCTTTGATACTATGTCAATATTCTCAAACCAATTAATGTTGCACGTTAGTATGTAAAAATCGGTTCAATCTGTTATTAAGTTAGAGATTAATAGTTATTTTTTTATGCATTCTGCATAGTCTTTATGCTAATATATTCTTTTACTGAATTGTTATTAAATTGCTAGCGTGAATTTTTTACAGACTTATTCTGAAGCTTTGTGTGATATTTGGAAGAATTTGTTTAAACTAAATGAAAGAAGGAAAGAAAACAACATAATTGTTCATTCTAATCCAGTTATCAAAGGTATCAATTCCTTTATTATTTTAAATATTATAAAGGGAGAGTAGGGTAAGACTTGATAGTGGGGTGAAACTGGGTACCTTGATTTTGTCAAAATTAATTCTGTTTTTTAGTGGGCAAGCTCTGAAGTACACTTCACTAGTCAAAAAGATGAACCTATCATATTGTTGTTGATTAATTCATGACATCTGTGTAGATAAGCTTGTTTTTCTATGTCAACTTTAACGTTCTTTTGTTTTAAATCTAGCTTTATTTATTGGTCATTAATTATATTATAGTTATAAAAATTATTTTTAGTGGAGCTTGATATATGTTTACTAATGATTCATAACAAACAATAAGGGTTTAGTTCATTAGTATCACTGTTCAGTATCATTTCCATAACCTCTGCTCTTGGGGTTAGACAGAGTAACACCCAATCTTTCCCTCTCCCCTTGATGTGTGTCTCTGCTGAGCCCACGAAAGCTACAAAACACTGAAGGAAGAAAATGACTACATTCAAGATTGAAGAAAAGTTTCATGGCCCCCAGAACAAAGTTTATTGCAGGCTTCCAAGCACAAAAACCTTATTTTCGTATTTTGTGTAGTTTCTGAAGGCACTTTATATAAAATTGTAATTTATATTTTGATATAAAAAATTCTGTGCATTTTTCTGTAAAAAAAAGCGCTACATTTTTTGTAGGGAATTTCTGCCAGACCCCCAGTTGTTTTGTACCCTGGGATAATTGTTCCTCTCCCCCTCCCTTGAGTACAGTCTTGACTACATCACATGTAAATTGCCTGAATAATTTCCCTAAATTACCTTATAAAATGGAAATGTCTGCTACTTTTTCATTGCAATTCTAGTATTTCTAAATTTCGCATAGAGTTAGCATTTATACCTGGTCTTGCCCCACTAATGGGGTAAGACCGGGTGATTTGACTTTTTTTCAGAAAAAAATCATTTATAACAAAAGTTGTACATCTGTGACTTTTCAGGAGTGTTTTGTACAAAACTAAACAATGAATATCTGACAGTATCTATGTTGAGCAGTTCAGCTCCAACACCCTTCAAATCTTAGCTAACCGTTTTTCCCCACTTTTCCCAATGTATGAGAATGAAAAACTATGCTATTGAACTAAATTTATGCATTATTTTTTAATTATCCTTTTTTTAATAAACTTTTATAATGAGTAATTTAATAATATCTCACTACCATGTATATTTTTTCCGTAAAATTATCATTCTCTATTTAGGTTGTGCAGAAATTTTGTGGATAAATTTACAAAATAGGTTATAGTCATTAAAAAGTAACATCACATCTTTTATGATGACTACTTGTTGTCATTCTGACAATATCATAATCTGGTCACTATAGAACAAAGATGGCAAATCTAGGGCATTCGGGCCACTAGGTGTACAGATGTAATGGTGGCACACAACAAGTATACTCTAAATTACTTTTATTTGGTTGCATTTACTGAAATTTTTTTTAAAAAATCTCTAAGACTGACAGCAGCAAAGGTAGATTCAGAAACGAGTGCGAGCATTGGCACCATTATGTGCAAAAGTTAATATGTAGTCATTTTATGATCTTTTGTCTGTTTTAACTGGAATTCTCTAAATTTATATCTGGGTGTGCTTTAAAAAATCACAAGGGAAAATTAAAGGAAATAGAATCTCAGTAGGACAAACTTTTTATGTTATAGACAAATTCTTCTCAAATTTGAGGAACTTTTAGAGGAAATTGGATTTTCATTACCAAAAAAAAAGAATTCACTTAATTTATGGGTTCAATTTAACTGTGTGATTTCATGTTTTTGTATACATTTGCTGCCCTATCAGCTGATTTAACTTAGACAAAGAAAAGTTTAAACTGAAAAAATATTGTTAGAGATCCTTGAAGTGCAAACTTGATATATATTCCTTAAAGTAATTGAAACAAAGAACTTAAATATTTCTCTTTGCTTAAAAGACATTTGGAATTGAATTGACAACGAGTTTCGCCGATTTATCTTCCAAAGGTAGAAAAATATTTTTAAGAGCTGTTTGGATATTAGAAAATTCAGATGAAATATTATCAATGCTATTTCTCCATTTTGAGAATTTTAGAAAACATAACAGTTTTGTTGTAAGATCTCACTTCGCTGAAATGAATGATCATAAAATGTCACTTTTTGGAGTGGTTTGGTATTTGATATTTCGGAAACTGATGGAATTTTTAAAAATTTTTTATATCGGTGATCAAATACACAATCTTGATATTTGAGAATATAGATTTGAAGAATTGAATTCAAAAGTCAGGTATCTTAATCATTGGAAAATTGAATATTTGAATAGTTGTTTTTAATGTGATATTATATATTTGTTTATAATGTAATATAAACACATTTTGAAATGTAAAAAGTACATTAGGAAGGCATCTTAAATTGGACAAGAATTTTTTTTTTTTTTGAATATGAAAAAACGGCAGATTAAAATAATATTTTGAGTTGCATTGATGCATTTAATTCTCCATGCTATAAAAAATTAAAAACTTTTAACATGTTAATGTTTAAACATGTTTATGTTAACAAATTTTTTTTTCTTTGCTTACAACTATGAGTGTCTTCTTCAGAACATTATAAAAATCTTAATATTAAACTGAAATATTTTCAAAAAAATTTATACAACTTATACCTGATACAAATTAATCCTTAAACAGCAAATACAGTAATTAAACATAATCTGATAGTTTAAAATCGCAGTAAGGGTTTAAATATGAGTTTTAAAAGGAAATAGAATTGTGATACACTAGACACTTAAAAATAACAAACCTTAGTTTCATTGGCACACTGATAAAAAAAGATTCACCAACCCTGTTGTTTATAGTTTAATTATGAATTATCTTTCTCATGTACCTCTTTTGAAATGGTGTGAAAAGAGTTTTTATATTTAAAAACATTTAAATTTTAACAAAAACTCCTTAATCATTCATTTTATAATTTTATCATGAAAATTTCTTATTTGAAATTTTAATTGAAGGCTTTAAAATAAAGAAGTTCTATATTAACAGAAACTCTTTATTGTTGCTTAATAACAAATCTATAGTATATTGCACATTTACAGCATCATAAGTATGCTAAACATGTTCTCTAGAATTCAATTTGCATGAAAACTATGGAAACATCTCTTATCCTTTGTGAGGTAAAGGTGCAACTCACATTTATCACATTTAAAATGTGTGTAGTCTTTACAGCTAAAAGGCTAAACTTTTGAATGCAATTTCTAAATAACAGAAACAGTCAGTCTTTCAGGTTATGGAAATGGATCTTACACCCTCACTGAAATTCCTAATTAACACATTATTCTATTGAACACAGGATGAACATTTTCAAATTCAAGGGGATTGATTCAAACATGATACATATAATGAACAAAACAATTCTTTCATTTATATTCAAATGCATATCATACATATTAAAATCAGATTTATAAATTTACAACTGCATAAAATGAAGGGTTAAAAACTTTAAAATGTTTTCAAAGATAATCAAAATAAGCTGTGGTAGGCAAGAAAATGTAATTGCCTTAAGACGCTAATACATAAGAAGTCAAGTGTCTACTGATAGGGATAGCTTTTTGTTTCATCTTACATCAAAGACGCTGAAATTTATTGTTGACTAACTGTTGATCAGTCAAGATCAGGACATACTTAAACAACTTCCTTTTATTCTATTGAATGTAGAATTTCTTAAAATTCTTGAATTATCATTGATAAAAGTAAAAGTTAATCCAGAGGATATTGTCCGATTCAGTAGCCACTTCAACAATCTTGAATTAATTAGACATGAAAAAATTACTTGAAGATATTTTGAAATTGTAGGTGTTGGGTTTGATGAAAAATCCTTCCATCACAAATGTTGAAGGGATTGATTCACTTTGACAGGAGGAACTGTTAGAAACTAAATATTGATGTAATAAATAACAGAAATTATTGTATTTCTCTTGAAGGTGACATAACAGTGTTGATGAGAACAAGTAAATAAGACATAAATAAAATAAGTAGAATTTTATTTAGCAGCTGCAACTACTTGGAATCTTTTGCTCCTTCTATATTAACCACAAGTTAAGAAAGCATTATTCTTTTGTTAAGTTATGAAAGAAGATTTTGTTATAAAAAGAAATCCAAAAATCCTATCGAAAAGTATTCAATGGTATATGAAAAATATCCATTTTGATTTTTTATGCACATATAACTTTTTATGTAGTAAATAAGCACATTTTGTCACCTTTCTTTGTATATGGTGCCTTGGGCCTACGCTTCTTTCAGCCATGCATTTGGCAATCTCTGATAATAAATCCAAAATTTTCTCGATAAATTGTTTAAAAATTGTTCTTACACTTAAAATATTTTCTTGCATACAAATTACTGATACAAACTGTAGAGCTGTAATGTATCTTAATTTTAAGTGAACTGATTGTTCATTTTTTAGTGTTTTATCTACAAACTGATTTCAAATGATACAGGAAATTCAATTTTTAAACTCTAATATTTTACTATTTGTATATGAAATTTTGCCCTCCTAATGTGTTTGGAAAAATAATATATTTATGCATTGAAATTTAATTAAGTGTGTACCTGATGCCAGTATATCTCATTTTCTTGAAACTAATATAGTCATTTTTTTATTTGCTTTTTGTAGTAATATTCTTGTCAACTTTTTTTTCATTTCATCATAATCTTGATATTTTAAAGGTTCAATGCATCACAGATTTTAGATATTAACTGTTATTATAGTTTATTTTAACTGTGCAAATGTGTTAATATGCAATTTATTTTTATGATGCATCATACATTCATAACTACAGTTTTATAAATGTATAAAAAAGGTGGCAAAAAAGTAATACAAAATAAATTTGTTGCAGAGACAAGCCAAGCTAACTTTTTGCAAGCCTTTTGTGTAGTGGAAACTGCTAATTATGCTCTTCTGTTATGTGAACAAATCAACTGTTCTTTGAATGATATTTCACTTTTCAGTCCTCACATACTTGGTGGATCAACTGTTCAACCTTTATTTGTAGTCTATCAATTGTTACAAGCTTTATGTTCTGCGCATGATTCCGGTGTATTTTTGGGACCTATTACCTTGTCTACAATAAAAGTGAAAGAAAATATGTGGATTAAAGTAGCACCAAAATTGTTTCTTCCTATTGAAGAATCTAATCATGCTAATAGTTCCTTAAAAGTTCAAAGTGACAAAAAGTTTAGTTATAAAGATAAAAAAAGTGAAGTTACCTTAACTTCTCTAGTTCATGGTTGGATGAGTGGCAATATTAGCAACTTTGATTATCTAATGTTTTTAAACATGGTGAGTTTAAACTAATAATTTGCTGTATTTCTTATTGCTGTATATTTTTGATGCATAAAATTTGTAAAAAAATTACAGTCAGTACCGCCTATATGGTCACCCTCTTATACGGTCACCCCGCTTATATGATCAATTTTCTAAAGTCCCGTCTAACTTAATGGGAAACATGTGTTAAAGCTCACCGCTTATATGGTCATCCTATTTTTTGAGTTACCGGTTATATGGTCAGTTTCCTTTTTTTTTTCTTTTGAAAAAAGATACATTTTAAGACATTCCTTTAGACAGGAAACCAAGAAAAATTACCTGAAGGTAAACATTTTCCTTCGACCCCCGGAGAGAACTGGAATTTCCCCCTCTAATTCGTCACCCTACCCTCTTTTCTCTTTTGCATTCATTGATGACCTTACCCTCTCCTCATTTGACCACTCGCATTCTTTTCCCCGCCCAAAGGCAAAAGGTCTTTTGATCATTTGAAGTTATCTCTCAGAGCTTGAAAAGGAGTTGAAGTTCAGAAAAAGAACATTTTTATTGGATTACTGAACGAATAATGTATCCATGCTTTCATTATGGCTTCGAAAGGAAAGAATTTAACAATATCGGAAAAAAAGGAATTGGTTGAAAAGTTTAAAAAGTCTAACCTTTCAAAAGCTACTTTTGCCAAAGAAAATTCTATACCGCAAACAACTTTAAACAACGTTTTAGTAGCCAAACGTAGCTCTCTAGTTGTTTCAATTAGCGACCGAGAAAGAAAACCTCAGCATGAGAATGTGGAGAAGGCTCTTCTGTCATGGATCAAATATGCACGATCACAAAATGCTCCTATATCCTGGAATATTCTAAAAGAAAAAGCTTTAGAAATAGCTAAAGAACTTGGAGAATCAAATTTTGTTGCTTTGTTGAAAAATGTAGCAGCTGGATACAGCGATTCAATGCAAGAAATAACCTATTCTTTAAGAAATTGTGTGGAGAAGCTGCTGATTTTAACAACAGTTCTTTAAAAGAATGGAAAGACGTAGTGTTGCGAGATATTCATGAAAGATATGAACCTGCTAACGTGTTCAACGTCGATGAATGTGGACTTTTCTATGGGATCTTACCAGACAGAACCCTTTGCTTCAAGGGAGAAAAACGTATAGGCGGAAAGAAAAGTAAGGAACGCTTAACAGTTTTGTTATCTGCAAACATCAATGGTTCGGAGAAAATGATTCCTTTGGTGATTGGAAAATTTCTGAAATTGAGATGCATGAAAAATTGTAAATCTTTGCCCCTTTTGTACGATGCCAATTCCAAAGCATGGATGACCCAAATGATCTGGGAAAAAACTCTCAGAAGGTGGGACCTACATCTTTCAAAGAAAAACAGAAAAGTTGCATTGATTGCTGATAACTGCACTTCTCACTGTCTTGTTGAGGGCTTGAAATAGATTGAGCTCGTATTTTTGTCTCCAAACAGCACATGTGTGTTGCAGCCTCTAGATCAAGGCATAATTCAAAGCTTCAAGTCTATGTATAGAAAACTTCTTCTACGGGATATGATCACCGCCATAGACAAAAAAAAGAGAAATTTCACGTTTCAGTTTTGAACGCACTGTTCTATATTGACCAAAGCTGGAACATGGTGTCGTCGAAAACTATTGAAAATTGTATCCGTCACGCGGGGTTCCACAGTTCTCCAGACTCTTTGGTATCATTAGAGGACCCTTAAGAAGATCTTCCATTAGCTGAATTGGCAGAAAATCTTCGAAACCGAGGCTATGCAATTCCGGGACGTAAATTTGTATTCCCAAATAGACGTTGATGTCCTCACTAATTGCGAAGTAACTGTGTAAGGCATTGTATCTAATGTCTTAAATCTGAATGCTGAAGGAAGTGACGCTGAGGATGATACTGAATGCAATAAAAAGTCTGTATCAACAGCTGATGCTCTTAAGGTTATAGATGACTTAAGGTGTTTTTTTGCAAATTCAGATGCAGCAGATGAACATTTAAAAACTATCAGAGACTTAGAAAAAGTTGTTTTAACAGCCAGGAAGAAGAAACAGACAAGCTTATTGGAATATTTTTTTTTGAACTTGTACATATGCTAAGGTAAAGAATTAAATTTTTCTAAAAGTATAAAGAATTATTTTTGCATTTTTTCTTATTATGCACCTTAATAATTAATTTTTAAACGTTTTTGAAAGTTGAATTATTTGTTTAAAAAATACATTCTGATTCCAGAATATATTCACGCCATATTAACTATACTATATATAAATATATATATTTGGTTATCGCATATATGGTCACACCGCTTATATGGTCATAATATTCTGGACCCATGAGCTGACCATATAACCGATACTGATTGTATAAAAGTGTAAATTACATAATTTGGACAATTAATCACGAGATGAACTCTTGAAATAGTGGTTAATTCTTCAAAAAAAGCTGAGGAAAATTTTAGATCTTGTACTCAAAGCAAATAATAATTATAAATTGAAAACTTTTCTGTTTAAAAAAATTAATGAATTATAAAATTTAGCTTTAAAATATAACTTTTAGTTGCATTCAAGTTGAAAAACAGCATTATGTACTTAATTGTATCAAATTTTTGAAATTTTGCCTCTTAAAATGACAACCTGATTATCCATAATTCGACAAATTAGAAAACTCACTTGTAACTGAAATTATTGCAACTGTAATTTTTCGAAAATTATTTACTTATAAAAAATCAGAACGTTAAAGAATCCATATTGTTTACTTATAATGAAGGACATCAATGTCAGAATTTAGTTAACTAGAATTTTTTTATATATTACTAAAAAAATTATGAAAAGTTAACTGAAATTTAGAAGTTTTCAATTTTCATTACCTTAATATTATATCTATTAATTCATTTGTGGGGAAGAGTATTATAAATTGCTGCTCTCATTAAAAGAAAGTTCTCATTGAGTTCAAAAGTATTATTAATTCTGAACTATTAATATTATTAGACTAAGCTATCATATACAATAATCTGTTCAACGCAGTAGAAGGTATGTGGAAGCATTGCAAGTGTTTCACAATCTCTTTATATATGACTTTAACTATGTGACTGTTTTCCTCTACTTTTTTTTACAAATAATGGACCAATTACTATGGATTCTCCATAACACAATATTAACTCTTACTATGAACTAATTTTTATCTCTCCAATAATTTTATTACTGTTACTGTACGATTTTAAAATGAAAAAAATAATAATAATAAGGTTGCTGTTTTTCTAATTCCTTCTAATTTAAAAGAAATCTTAATTTTAAAAAAATTATGTAAAGCTTTTTTAATCCACTTTCGAGAATTTACAATATCCCACAACAGAAAACATAAATGAGCCATGCAAGCACATTCACTCTTATTACCTTTATTTTATTGTTGCTATGGCTTTGAAAGAAGAATGATTTACAGGTTACTTCAAACTATTTAGTCAAATGCAGTCTGTGCGTTGTATCTTTTTGACAAGTGGTAAACACACAAATAGATTCTTTTATCAACAGAAGAAAAAACTGAAAAGCATATTTTAAGCGTAAACATGTTTTATTTCGTGGATTTTGTGTTGTGATTATTTTTATTTTGTGAATTTTTAATTTTTTTGAAATTTGTTTGCTGGCTTTAATAAAAAACATTTTACATTATTGAAATGGTGTAATCATTATTTGTTGTATGTTATTGAATCGAGGTTATATATTATTAATTTCTAAAAATATGTAAAAATCAACATTAATTATGTAGCAAATGAAAGTGCTGTCAAAAACTTAAAGACTCATATCAATAAGAATATCTATGCCTTATCAATTCGAGGAAATGTGAAAATACTGCTTATTTGTACTTTTTCCTAACTGTGTAATTTGAGTAGTTGAGCAATATTTTTTTTTTTAATTATTTTAGATACAAAATATAAATTTAAGAGTCCTATTTTTATGTCTTTTTTTTCTAGTATATATTATTGTGCAGTATTTTGAAAAAAAGTATTAGATTTGTCAAAATGTATTATTATAAAACTACTGAAAATATTCATGATTATTACTGGAAAACGTTTATAAGTGGTGTGAGTCACTGATAATTAAAGCTTTAAATAGCACAGTTAATTGCAGTGATATTTCGTTCCATAATCATGGTAAATGAGAAAACTGAGTAAAGTAAAATATAAGGCATAAAAAAACCGTGTAAAACTAAATTATTCAACATTTTCTGCAGTTTAAAAATTGCTTTTCTTTTATCTTTACTTCAACGTTACCTTTTCAAAGATTAAAACTGTTATAAAATTAAGTTAATCTAGTCAATATGCACAATGCTGGAGGTGTGAGTTTTTTTTTTTTTTTTTTTTTTTTTTTTTTTTTTTTTTTTTTTTTTTTTTTTTTTTNTTTTTTTTTTTTTTTTTTTTTTTTTTGTGATTGTATCACATTAACCCTCTTCCCTCAAAAAATATTAACTTATTTTCTAAAAGAAAATGATAAAGCATGCACTTATTAATTAGATATGCTGAAAAATCTGAAAGTTTTGTTGTTTAAATTTATACCAAACATTTTATTTATTTATTTTTACCTAGTTCAGTCAATGTAACTTTTATACATTTAAATAAAAAAAAGTGTTTAGAGACATTTTAGAACCTGGAGCAGTGTTTAAAAATGAATTGTTTTGTTGGAAGTGTACACTAAGTGTCATAAATCATAAGCAAGAAAGAATAAATTTTAAAAAAGGCAAATTTGCTGACAGTAAAGATAAAAAAATCTTTTTGTTTCGATGAAAAAGAAACTGATAGGTAGTGGTTACAATTACAAAATCATTGGTTCAAAAGAACCCTTTAGTAAATGTTTGATATATTTCTTTATTGCAGATAACAGTACAGTAAGCTGTCAAATGGTTGAAATATTCAAATTATATGGGTACATCATTTTAATAATCTACATTTATTAATAAATTCTGGAAATCAACATTTTTTTTTTAACTGCAATGATTTTTATATGCAAAATTAAAGCAGCTAACTTTAACTAGTAAAATATTGATTTGTAATCTCCTTCATTCATTAACCAATCATTCAGCTGTAAAATGTTTTAGTGTGACTTATACAGTTTGATACCTATGTTAAAGTGTTAGAGTTTAATACTAATAAATGAAGGAAATAACATTTCTTTAGGGGAAAAAAGGGGTTTTATTTTATTGCTACATTCTATATGGAATGCAGTGCTATGCTAATTACTTTTGTTACATAGTTGGTTAAAATATTACTGGATTTGTTAAAAAAAAATAGGGATTGGTGCATGATTCAATATTATAGCCTGTTATTCTGAAAGATGGAGTGCTTGCATAAATGAAAAAAAATTATGCACCCACTTTGGTTCGTTAAAGTTTTTAGTTGAAAGTAGATCAGTTAATCTACATACAAATCTATGACTTTTATATGATTTTTAATCTTTGCAGCTTGCTGGAAGACAGATGAATAATCCTAAATGTCATTATGTCATGCCATGGATTATGGATTTTTCTGTTCCTGATGGAGGCTGGAGAGATCTTACAAAATCAAAGTTTAGATTAAACAAGGGAGACAAACAGTTAGATTTAATCTATGAATCGGCTATTGAAGCTAGTCGTTCAACATTATCAAGTAACAGTGTTCTACAAGACACTGCTGTTACAGTAAGTGCCTCTATAGTAATCAGTTGCTGGCATGTTAATTCTTTTACTATTGCCGTTTGTTAAAATCGATTGCATATTTATTTTTATTAAAATATTGTTTCAAAATATTTTTAGGTTCCACATCACACTTCAGATGTTTTAGCTGATATTACATACTATGTGTATAAAGCAAGAAGGATGCCAAAATCTTTTTTGTGTCAACATGTGCGTCCAAAATGGGTACCAGCTGAATACCCAATTTCAATTGAACGTCTTCAAGTATAGTAGTTTTTATTAATGTTAATGTATTAATGTTATGGACTATAACTTTTTTATATGTGTCTTATTTTATTTCACTAGTAGTTTGCTTTATTATTTATATCTTACATAATACTAAAACAAAATTCTCACTGGTCAAGAAAGATCTAGAATTACCGGAAACATTTATTTTTGATTAAGTCAGGAAAATTTCTTTTTTTCAAATCCTGGAAAAATCTTATAACCAATCTGGAAAATAACCATTCTTAGAATTCACTTTTGTCGTAAGTGGCTAATGAGGTTTGAAGTAAGTATACATGTATTATCATCATAATAAATCTAACAGCAACATTGTAATAAATTTTCTAAGCAAAAATTCCTTTGTAAAATAGTTGAGTTTTTTTTTTTTAAATTCTATCAAATTAGATTATAGGTTCGTCCAAATAATTTGTTTTACAATTTATTCAAATTCTTTGCTAGATTTAATTGTTGTTCATATAAAATACTTTTTTTTAATTAAGATTACTTTTGTTTAAATATATTGTACATAGATTAATGTAGTTTTTAGTTACTTTTTTTTTAAGAAAACCTATAGTATTGTATTTGAAGAAAAAGTTGTGTAATTCTTTTTGCTTAGGTGATGATAGTTCAGTATTATGATTTTGACGTTACACTTATCTTTTTGCATTGAGTTTAAAAACTTGTTTAAACAACTACAGCCAGCAATTACTGTGTGGTACAGTTTGTTTTGATTACACTTTGAAATTTAGAATATGATTTAATATCATAAATTAGTAACCTGAAGAAATACAATAATTTATATTTAATAAGAAATACAATATTGAAATCAAAAAAATTTTATTGTAATTATTGTTACGAAATGTATCCTTAAAATATAAACTAAATAGTGTACCCTCAGATCTTAGTTACCTTTCAAACTTGTTCCAAAACAATGATTTGCATGATATATAAAACTATAGTATGCTGCTATGATGAGTTAGCTAGGTGAGGCATTATTTCAGACCTTGTCAGGTTGGAGAATGGCTAACTTAAATGTATTTTTAGGAAGGTGGCAGACGGGGCTAAAAATGACTTAAATAGGAGCTTTTTTTCTTTTCTTAAATTCTTACAACTTAGGATTGGAAATGACCACTGTCCTCCCAAAACAATGCCTTTGCTATCTGAGTTTTGTACCTTTGGACTTAAGTGGAGGAGTCTATGTGATCCTTAGGAAATATCAAGGCTGGCTGTCAAAAAATTTATTTAATGAAATGTTAGCCAATATTTTAAAATCTCTACTTTGTATTAATTTTTGAGGTGTCAGGCATCAAAAATTAAAACCCTGCATGTCAATAGAGCTTAAAGTGAGGTATGGCAAGATATATAGTCGTGATGTCAGCTTAGATAATCAGTTATTATAAAGTATTGAAACAATAGGAATATCAAAACAGATTTTATTAGGTTGTTGGAAATCAATTTTGTTTTTTCCTAACAGGAGCAGGCTTGATCTAGAAAAGTGGGGGCCCTAGACACAGAATGGTCAGGAACCTCCTGGTTGTTACTTTAAACTAAATTTACATGATGTTTAATTAGGAAGTGTTTTTAAATTATTTGTAACACAAGTAAATTACAATGTATTAGTAAATTTGAGCTTATATTTATTTCAATTTTGTGTTAAATCATAACTTTAATAGACAATTCTTAAGAAAAAACACAAAAAGGAATTATTTGTGACATTTAGGGTGGCCATTAATATGAGGCCCATGGCTTGGGCCTTTCAGGCCTTTTGATAAATCAGACACTGAACAGGGGACTTAATTATGTTTTTCCACAACAACTTTACACCTAAGTCACATAATCATTATATATTTTGACAGCTGATATAGCAACTCTTGCTTGTGAGAAAGTTTGACCTATTCGACACAGTAGTTTTTAGTTGTTGCCCTTTCAAGTATGGAAAATAAAAAGCAAAATTTTCTGTATATTTTAATTTTTTACTATCTAAAAGGAAAAAATACTGTTTGAAAACGAAAAAAATTATCTAATATATATGGATAAAATTTAATGACAGTATGCCAGTGCCGAAACTAGTTTGTGATATTTTAATTTGGCAAAATTTTGATTAAGATGCAGGAAGATGCCCTCTCCAGTTTAAGCTGATGACGGCACAATAAAAGAGTTTAATTGATGCAAACTAGCGAATAACAACATGTAAGATCGCTGAAAGATTACATTTTTTGAAATTAACTGTTCATGATGATTTGAAAAGCCTATAGATTTATCTCAATGCTTGGCGTATGGGTTTTTCATGTTCTCTTGGAAAGAAATTTTTGCCGTCGTATTGACACCTGAATTTTGTTTCTCAAACATGAAGAAAATCATCCATTTTTTAAATGTATCATCACCGGGAACAAGAAATGGCTTGTCTACAGTAATGTTCGAGTGCCTGCAAAATTTTTTAGACGATTAAACCTTTACTTCAAATAAGGAAATTAAATATCACCTGGATCAGTTTTTTAACAGCAAGGAATAAATATGTGTGCTTAGAATCATACTAGTACTGTCAGAATGTTGGCAAAATATTTATTCACTATACGAAAATCACCTTTCATTTACATAAAAAAATTTCTTTCTGAGCAACCCAATACTTGAGCATTTCTCGACTTACCTGTTTATCAACCTTGCTTCAATTAATCAAATAATTGCCAAAAGCTATCAAATTATAACTTTTATCTACACTAAAAGGCTGTACTTTCATAAAATTTAAATGATATTATAGACCTCATTTTCAATGATCAATAGATCTTCAATGAACTAAGGGAAGAAATGCATTGTTGCCATTAGCAACCTTAAAAACACCAATAATTGATTAGAGGACAATTAATCTATTTTTGCATCATAGCATGGACATTTCTATAACATACAGCATTTTCAGATTTTCTGTTACAAATCATTTATCAAATAAAAGTTATTCCAATAATTAACTTCATTGAAAGTAAATATAAAATGTAAACTACTTCTTTTTTTGTAGCTGTTATTTTAAAAATTTAAACAATGGTTCATCAAACTTTGAGTTTTTGTTTGATATCTCAACTTTATTAAATAAATTAAGAAAAAAAAACTAATAAAAATGTGTGACAAATTTCATTTATTTGTAACCGTAATTTAAGTTAAATATTTCAAATTATAATTTAAAGAAACTTTTGTCATTTTATGTATAAAAATTTTTTTTTTCAAAAGCAAATTGCTTGCTTATTTTTATTTGCCCTTTCCCAATTAAATATTACCCATGTTGCTTGATGAAAAGGAGAGGGTGTTGTTTATAGGTCATTCATGGAATTTTATTAAAAAAACATCTGTTTAGGAGACTAAATTTTTAAAAGAAGCATAATATTTTTAAAGAAATAAAGATTTTGAAGTTACATACATTTTTTGAGGAAAATGTAAAATTATAAAAATAAATAAATTATCCACTTGTTTTTGATAATCAGATTTACAACATTGAATTACTGTGTTTCATAGAATCAAACCCTCCTTCTCAGTAATTTTTAAAATAGCACTCTCCTGTGTTTTTCACATTTTGTAATAATAATGAAGCAACAAAACTGTGTATTTTATTTCTTATTTAATTAGTTAAATCAGGTTGGAATATTAAACAAAATAATGATAGGTGGATAGTCGAAAACCCTTTGAATATAGTAATCATTGATAAAGAAAGGACGGTAGAAAAAAGTAAATTTTTATATCTGTCTAAAAATAACCTTTTAACAAACATTTTTTTTTGTTTTTGTTTTTTAGAGTCGTGGGCACACTTTCTTTAAGATTTACATAAGAGATACAAAAATCTGTAAAAAAATTATGCCAGTAAACTTAGAATAAAACACATATATTGGTAGTTTTGATGCCATAAATGACATCATAAATGTGTGATCAATTTTATATTTAGATTTATTTTGAGTAAATAAACTCTTGATGCTTATTACAGTTAAGGAAATTGTAAATGTTGACTTACTGACCTGTTGGTAGACACTTTAACTATATGTATCATTAAGAATTAATCTTCTCTATTATGGGATCAAATAAAAATTACATGTTTATAGTCACTGATAACTTTCCACTGCAATAAAGTTTCTCATTCAAACTTTTTATTCTTTCACAGGAATGGACACCAGATGAATGTATTCCGGAATTTTTTTCTGATCCTATGATTTTTTATTCTATTCATTCAGACTTAAATGATCTTGGTATTCCATGGTGGTGTGATAGTCCAGAAGATTTTGTGGCAAAGCATAGAAATGCTTTAGAAAGTTCTCATGTCTCTGAACGGCTTCATCACTGGATTGATTTAACTTTTGGTTATAAAGTATATATTCTTTATGTTTCTCTTTTAAACAAATGAATTTATGTTTTTGGAGTGTTGAAAATTCTATTCATTTTCTGTACTGCAATTTTTAAGTAGCTTTTGTAACTTCTAGACTAGTCATTATCCATATATATAAGTTTTTCAGGTAAAAATTAAAATAAATAATGTGAAAGTACTAATTTTGACCACAAATATTTGTTTTTTAAATTGTTAGTTACTCATTTTTTCAAAAAACAGAAAAATCAAATAGGAAAAAGGATTCAACTTCATAAAAATAGAAATAAAATTTTTACCGATATTTAAACCGTTTTGTCACCAATAAAAAATTAAACAAATTTATATTAACTTTTTCAACATAAAGCATTTTAGAAAATTTTTCAACCATGACTTCAAAAAATTTTCTGTTGTTGGGTTATTAATTTTAAAAGGGTAACCTAAATATCCTTATATACTATTGCAGGAAATCTGGTTTTGTAAGCACTAACAACTCAAACAGTGAAAATGATACAATTTTAGTTAAGACTTGGAGACTTTGAATTGTGATCAACATTTTTCATGTGATCAGCATTTTGTTAACATATTATGTTACTTTTTATGTTTGATCAACATATTACATTACTTTTTTTTTTCTTCCAAAATTCCATTTTTTAATATTTAAATATTATTTTTAAATTTATTTTTAGTATGAATTTTAACCTTTACTTTAAACTGCGTGCATCATAATCCTATGAGACAGGAGATTTAAACTTTTTTGAAAATGTTTATTTAAGCTCACTTTTCATTCATGATGTCAAAAAAAAGTTTTACATTATATTGCTTAGATATATCATAGTTGTTATTTTTAATTAATTTGCTCTATGATGCAAGTTGCCCTTTAAAGTAAAAGTATTGACACCTTAATTCCTAAAAGTTGTATGTTTGTAAGGAAATGGAAGAAGGGGGCAAATATTTCTTTTTAAGATAAAAAATCAAATTAAAAGAAATGATGCATACATCTACTGAATATTTCATGACTATATTATTCTTAAAAACATAGAGGGGCAGAACTAAATTTTTTAAAATAGATTATGAGTTAGTAGTTAGTGCAGTAATATTGTAAAATAATATAGTACCTACCTTTTTCTCTGTACCTGACATACATCATGATATATTATAACTAAGATTAAACCTAGGAAGAAATAAAATAAAAATATATAATTTATAATTAAGTCTAGTAATTCTTGTACTTGATGTTTTTTGTAAATTTTATTCTTTTTTAGTATGGATTGGATTTATTGTTTAAAACAAAGGCATAAAAATATTTGGCATCTTTATAATTTATCGTTCATTTGTATTTTCTTATTTTGAAAGAAAAAAAAACGAATTTCTTATAATTTTTGCGAAATTTTCAAAAAAGTTTTTTTTTTCAACAGAAAAATATTTAAATTAATATTGAGACATTCCCTATGATGTAGGGTACTACTGAGAGTTCAAATTATATTTTTCTTATCAAATAAAGCTTATTTCTTTCTTTTATTTATTTTTAAAATTTTGAAGGAATTTAAAAATGGAAAAACTAGGAAAATAGTTTTTCTTCTTTTTAAAATGATATAAAATTATTCATGTACAATATTTTTAAAAAATGATTTCAAAATTTGAACAAAAGAAGCTCTAAAATGCAACTTTATATTTGGGGAAATTTAATTTTATCCAGTGAGTTAAAAAGAAGGATGTTAATTAAAATTTTGTATTCGTTTATAAAAAATTTCAGAATCAGTGAATCAAAAAGCTCTTATCTGTAAAAAAATAAATAGTTTTCTATGGTCTCTTAAAAGGACCATCAAAGCTGATAGTGCCCCTTCCAGGGCAAAGGAGTAAGGCTGTGTGCTGATAAAGGGAATGATGAAATGAAATGGACAAATCTCTTAAATGAAATCTCTCTAGAGGTAGTTTCAGGGTGGGAGCATTCTAATGAGAAAATTCTGAAACCAAAAGATTTAAGTAAGCACAAATGAGTTTAAATTTTATTTAATTGAGCAAACAAAAATTTGTCTGCATTGTAGATAATCAGAGCCGGATTATACCTTTCGTAGGCCCTAGGCATAGCCGTCAAGCTAAAAGAAGTATAATCATTATTGTTAATGCTTTATCTTAAATTAACATTTAATATCTGGACAATAAAGAAAATTAAATAAATTTTTTTATTGTTTTTAGCTTTCTGGTTCAGCTGCTGTCAAAGCAAAAAATGTCTGCTTACCATTAGTTGATCAGCATACAACAGTCCAGAGTTATGGAATGGTTCAGTTATTTACACATCCTCATCCCCATAAGTTGATCAAACATTTATTTTTGAGAACTCCTCGAATTTTAAAGGTATTCAATTTATTTAGTATTATTATTTTATAATAATTAGATTTCAGCGAAAGAAACGCTAATTCAGTAATATATAGAATGTAATATTAAGTGTTAAGTTTCACTGAACTGTCGTTATGAAGAACTGGGGTTCGTTTCCCAGTGACATCTTAAACCCCACCCAGCTTCAGATCGATAGGTACCAGCTTGCCTGGGAAGTAAAGGTGACCTGTGTGCAGTGCTGACCACATTGCCACAATCATGCTGTTGGTCACAAAAGTTGGAGCCTTAAACCTCTGTGATTAATTATTTAATGATTAATTATTTAAAAATAACTTTGTAAACATTTACAATTCATGCATGTGAAAACATTACTAAAACCTTACCACTAACTTAAATTATAATCATTAATGCATTATAAATACCCAGTTCTTATTTTATTTACGTGCACATGAACAAAATATGTTCATATGATTATAGCATGTAATTTCTTTTTTTATCTTCAGCTTCTCCGAGTTTTACTTTCCTTGAGTACACATTTGTTCTTAGTTATTCAAATGTCACAGATTATCGTCTTTCTTTTTGTATGCAGTGCTTTAACTTCTTGATAAAGTCTTAATCTCCAATGATTGTCCAGTGCAACTTTTTATTAATTTTAATACTAAATTCTTTAAAAAACAGATACCTGCTTCTAGTCCTGGATGTAGATTAGTTGTTGGAAGAAAATTATTTGAGCATCTATTGCAGCAATATTCAGGGCAAAAACAAAACTGCCATTGACACCTATTAGTTATTCTGGCAATTGAATTATTTGCTGGAAGTGATTTAAAATAATTTAAAACTTAAAAATCTTGGGAATAGAAATATTTACAGTGTTACACAATAGAAATTTATTTCTCATATACACGTTCCATTGGAAAGAAAGACTAACATGAGCAGGCATTTGAGGCAGGTCATACCCAAATTTCTATAAAAATATCTTGATAAATCCTTTTCTAAAATGTCTATTCAAGTGAAAACTTGTCCAGAGGGTCAAGATCAGGTAGAAAGTCAGACACTAAATGCATATAAAAATTTTAGTTTCACAAATTAGAAATATAAATCTGTTTTTGTTGTGCTGGGGTGTGATATACTCTACTTGCATAGTTTACTTATGAACCATCAAATAGATTTACCTAGTCCTACAGGGTTATTTTTAAAATATTTTTTAACAAGAGTCATAGAGGGTCAGAGCAGCTAGTATGCAATACTGAGATGTTAGTCCTAGTAGCAAGGAGTATGCATTGGATGCCCAATTAGTCCTGATGAAGAAAGAATGATAAAACCAGAACAAAACATTCAAACTGATGAAAAACCTAGAAAAACTTGCTCACTAAGGATTATTTAATTAGAAAATTTCTCAGAAAAAATTTGAGCATTTCCTAGCAAGAATTCTTTAGCATTTGTCTTGATGATGACTAAAAAGTTTTGTATCTGAGAACCAAAGATAAATGGAAGTCCTTTATTTTTTCTAAAAATGAACGAGTTTAACATTTTTTCTATGGGTGTTGTTTTCAAATTTCAATCTCCAAAGAAACAAGGCAAATTCTTTTTTGAAACATTTTTAAGATTTTATCAAATAATATTATTCATATTGTATCCGCATAAGTATGTTCTCTTTTTTTCTTATTATTTCTGCTAATAAATACTACTAAATTTTCGTAACAAGAATCTAACAATTAAAAGTGCCTAGCATAAATACAATTTGTAAACATTTTAAATACATTATAAATGATTGATGATATTATAGGAAAGTATACAGATTTTTCACTAGAAATTTGAAAATTAAAAGAAGAAATGCTAGTTGTTGGTATGCAGTACTTATGGAAGCAAATTAATATTTAGTTCAATAAAAGAAAATGGTATTTGAAATTAAAAAAATTTGAGACTTGTTTAAAACATTTTTGTATTTTGTATTTGTCATTGCTGCACTATAATTTAACAAGATACAGAATTGGGCATCATGGATATCTAAAAGGTCTTGCTTTTAATTTAGACAATTAAAAACAATTGTTATTTTAATTATGTTTAGTGTTTGTGAATTTAAAACCTGTTTTGTGTTGTTTAAGTACTGCAAATGATGTTGCAAGAAAATACTGTTTGGGGACTTAAAGTGTTCATGATTTACTATTAAGTAACAATAAATGAGTAAAAATAAGAAAGATTAATATTGTTTGTAATTTCTTATTTTTTAGGCAATACCACCATTTGACCCTCACATCACACATGCGAATTGATTTATCTTTAAAAAAAGCATTTTTGAGATGTATACATGCCTGAAATATCTTTATCCAGTTTTATTTATGTGTATTAGAAATCTTTAACTTTGTGAAAGTTATAATTTCTGACTCTCCCAGATGTGATGTTTATCATTACATTTCTAATTTGTTAAAATATTTTTAATCAAACAATGTTCTATCAAATTTTCAAATATTGTTGAAAAAGTAGCAATATTTTGATTTGTTAATAAGGTAATTTATATAAAAAAAGCTATAGTTTAAAAAAAATCCTTCCAGATTTTTATCAACAGAAATGAGTTAGTATGCATTATATACACTTTTTACAGATTTCCTTCAAGTGTGATAGATAACAAAGAGCTACTGTATTTATTTTAATGTATTCCTTTTATGAAACAAAGGTTTGTATAATTTGAGTTTTTAGTAATCAAGAGTTGGATGATGTCCCTATTAACTCAGACAACTGATATTAAAAGTCACATCTGTTAGCACTTAAAGTTAAATGAAAATTTCTGCTCTAATAGATATATTTCTTCCATTCAATTTTTAGCTTGAGTATTGGAGATCATTCAAAAAGCACTGTCTGTACGTGTATTTTAATTTAATAGAAAATGAAAATATTTCAGGAAACATAAATTATCTTTTAAAAAATCATGATAAAAAACAATAAAAACAAGCTACAATAAGTTAATGCTCAAATCATAATGAAAAATATGGGATATGATATGTTTTATTGGCTCTTCACAAATTCATAGACAGTGCTGAAAATGTTTCATATTTAATATATATCTATATATATGTGTTTAATTTATATTAACTACTTCATAAGTTATTATAACAGAAAAGAGACAGATATTTATATAGCATTTAAAAAATTAATGTTTAATGACTGTTCTTTTCTTGTGATCTGCTACAGCCATCTAGTGGCATATTTAACAAATAATGTGTGCTACACATATAACAATTATGTTTTTATAAAAATTGCAACTATGTCAACAAATGTTTTTATTTTTAACTCAATAACTAAAATTTTTAGTAAAAATTTCGTAGCTTTATTTGAAATTAAAACATGTTTATTCCATTTGAAAGTGCTATTAATTAATGGAAAAGAATTGTAGAAACTTCTAATTGCAATTTTAAAAAATAAGATACTTTTTTATATTTCTGTACTTCTAGAATGTCTCAATATTAATTATTTTCAGGCATTGCCATCTTAGAACCATTGCATAAATCTTTGCATATTGTTCCACTGCATATTTTTATTTGTCTTAATTGAATCCCTAAAAATGAAAATAATTTAAACTTTTCTATTGAAAACTTAACAAAAATACTTTCAGAAAGGTAGTATGAATATTTGTTTTAAAATGTTGACATCTGATTTTGTACTAAAATGAAATGTTACAGGTGTCTGATGCAAAAGAGAGTGGTGATGAGGAAGACAGCATGGGCAAGTCCAGCTTTTTTAAAACATTTAGGTAATATAAATAAGTATTTTAATTTAAAATAGTAAATTTTTAAATTGTTATTCTTTAATTACTATTTCACTAATTTCAACATTTTTGACATAATTATATTGATTGAAATAATGTAAAATTTGCTGAAAAAAGTTGCTTAAGACAATTCCAAATAATAATTTTGTAAAAAGTATTTTTGTCTTGAAAATAAATATGTTGAATTGCTCAGAGCATGATGACTTTTTATCAATTTCAATAATTAAAAAAATTAAAATTTTATTTAAAAAAAAAAAAATTGCTATAGTTTCTTGAAATTTTTGGTCTATTACAGTGAGCTTATTTGTGTTCAAAACTAATATACAGTGCGCAAAAAAATAAACGAACCATCCTGAATGACTTTAGATGTAATGATTGGATTTTCGCATATTAAAACTCAATCTTAGCCCTTTCCCAATGGGAGAAAATCTAATCTGCTTGTATCTCATATCCTATGAAGATGCAATGCTATCTTGTGCCTAAAATTATAGTTTTTAAAACATTTCAAAACACTGTCACAAATATGGGATGGTCAGGAGTTAAAAGTGCTTTAGCATACCAGTGTATCGGCCGGAAAATGATAGCCTTTCATTCTGGCCTGTGTATGTGACAGTCAGCTCCAAACTGTTAATAGCTCAAGGGGGTGACTTCAAATATGTTAATTAATTGATGCACATGATATTTTAAGTTACAAAACCAGACACAAAACATACTTTCTCTAAATAAACTTACCCTTTTCTGGAGAATTTGGATTTCTTTCTTCTTTCTCCTCAAGATATTGGGAGTAGTTGTAATCTGGGAATTATGGTCAGGAAAGTGAATTTTGATGATAATTGTCCGTTTTGCTTATTTTATGGAAAGAGAATTTTTTAAGTGAATGGAAAAAATTTTGCACACAATCATGGAATTGGTTTATCCAGAGCTGATTTCCTGCAAAAAAAATTTTTATCCCTTGTTTATTATTTTATTTAATAATAGTTGAAAACATTTTGAATTATAAGGTATACAAATTTTTACATCATTTTAAAGACTGTAATTGTATGTAAAAAAAGTTCCATCTTTGAACAAAATCAGTTGAATAGTTCCTGAGAAATGGAATTTTAAAGAAGTCTTTGATTTGAAATTTGAATTTCTACAGAAACATTCAACAGATTTCATTCAAATTTTGTATTTTATCATGAATTATGTTTTTTTAATTGATGTAAAAATTTGTATATCTTTTATTCTTACAATATTTATTTTATATTTGTAGATCTTATATACCTTACATTTCAAAATATGTAAACTCTTATTAAATAAAATAATTAAAAAAGACAAATAATTATTAAAAATTAATTTTTGCATGAAGTTATCTTTGGATAGACAAATTTATTACTGTGTGCAAAAATCATTCAATTCGCTTAAAAGAAATTCTCGAGATATGGCGAAATATGCAAAAAGCAGAAATAACATTTGACTGCTCTCCTTGATTTGAACCACACTCCAAACTTTGGACTGTTGTCCTGACAAAACTATTGGAACCATATTTCCTAGATTGTGTCTTCCCTCTTTATTCTAAAAGTCAGAATCCTAACCAATTGAAAAAATTAGTGTGTTTATTCAGAGAAGGTACATTTTTGTATTTGTGTCTGGCTTCATAACCTAAATTGCCTTGCACTGATTTAGTCCTAGTGCATGAAAATATGATCATCATATCATAAGATATTCAGGGTATTTTTTATGCTTCATACATATCTTTTTCATAAATGCAATTTAAATGAAAGAGCAATGACATATTATTTAAGAAATTGGACCACCAATTAATTTATGCTTAGTTAAAGCAGAAGTACTTTTAAGGCTTGTCACATGGGAATTCTTAACTAAATTTAATTCAATGGAATAGGTTCAAAAAAATAATTGTGCAACAGAAAATATTGAGCAAAAGCTTAAAACTTTAGCTTATTGGTATGAATTACTAAAAGAAAGATAAAGAAATGCCCATTCTATATAAAAGAAGATTTGAAAGAGCTTAGCAAATAATTGGTATAAATTTATTTGAATAAATAACATATACTTTCTTTTATTAATGAATTACTACCATTGGTGTAAAATAAATTTTCCTATGGCACTAATTGTTACTATATATCTATATATTAGACAAGGTTTATTCTTAAAAGAAATCATAGAAACTTTTTGTTTTATTTGACGCTTTTTCTTAATTCTCTATTCTTCAGATTTCAGTTGTATTCTGTAATTTTAATTGAATAAAGGAATATTACTACTCAATTCAATCTTAATAGTTACTCTAAGTAGAAATTTTATAATGCAGTATCTTCCTTAAATAAAATTTGCAAAACTTTTTTAATTTAATTTTTTCCTTTCAAATAGTTTTAACAATCAAAGAGGAAAATGAACGAAGCTGCATTAGTTTATCTATGAATTTATAAAAGATTATAATTTATAATATAAAATTTTTTATGAGTTATTATCTTACCTGAAATTCTTATCTTATTTAAAATTAATTTTCTTTTGAGCAATACTTTTATTAAATAAATATGTAAGCATTATTTAAAAAACCTTTCATTATCTTTTTAGGTTGAAATCGACAGTTATGCTTTGAAACAGAAATTTTTGTGAAGTCATTAAGTTGAAAATCCATTCTTATTTAACCAAATTGTTATAAAAGCAAAATGCTCTGGCTTCTTTATTTGTTAAGAATTGCCATCAAAACTAATATCAGAACATGTCCTTTAAAGACAAATATTTTTTTGTTTATAATTGACTTATATATTTATTTTTCTTATTTAGATCAAAATCTTTAATACTTTCATCTGATCACTCAGAATCTAGACCAGAAAACCAAATTATTGTCTTACCCAAGGATTTCAATTCATTATCTTCTCTTTCCCATCTTGAAGCTCTGCATACTTTTCAATCTTGGTTTGATGGAGAATATCATCATTTTAATGAATTTAAGGTCAGTCTTAAAGTACCGATTTAAACACTAAAAAAGGTTTATAATACACTTTTTAAATTGTAATGAAAATCAAAAGGTTCATTAACTCATAGTTGACTCATAAATCAGGTATGTCACTAGGAAAGGTGGCTTAACAGGCATTTCCCAAAAATGTTAGGTTATCACTTAAACTCATTCTGGATCTAATGATAACTTTCAAATTAACGTAATTTCTTCTTCTTTATTGACACTATAGCCCAGGGTGCACCTTAGCCTGCAGCACAATATTTTTCCAGACAGCTCTGTCCCTGATCTTGATCTTAAAGTAGGAGATCTTTAAAGTTTTTAAATCATTCAAGATGTCATCCATCTTTTCTTTGGTCTATCTCTTGGCCTAATATAATGTAGGTTGTCCTAACTCAAACAATGAAATTTTATTGTTTGAGAATATAATCTCTGTTATTCTGCTATACAGTTCTCCATCTATGCATAAGCATTGTCATGAATGAAGATATAACTTTTCTGTTTATTAATAAAAGACGTTTTTCTTAAATAGCTTCATCGAGTCTTGTAAGTTGTTCTCTATATTTAGAACCTCAAGAGAGAAAAACCCCAAGAGCTTGAAAATAGGAAATTTAAAAATGAAGGCATAATACTTTGCAGTTGAACTGTTTAGGAGATCGTGGTACAACATGAACTGTAGTACCAGGGATTAAGTGCAACTATTAGTCTGTAATTCTCTAGAATTTTAAACACAGATGCTGATACTCTAACTTTTTCCTCTAAAACACTTTTTAACCCTTTTTTTCACATACTTTTTCAGATATGTACTAAACTAATGGCATTGAGTTTTAGTTGTATTATAAATATTGGAGTATAATTTCTTACTGACCACTAGATATGTCTTGAACATAAAAATATAATAACTTGATTTGGTATATACATTTTAAATTATGTATAAAATCATGTGTGTTATGTGTGCTGAATTTGCATAAAATAAATTGTTTATGTCATTAATGCTTGATAATAAATTATAATTGAGAAAATTTATTTATTCAATAAATTTATATGTATTTTCTTTTGTAGGACTATTCTCAAATGAATGATGTTTCTGTAAATTATTTGCGAAGCAAAGATATGGTAGTTCTTGGTTGTCTGATTAGTGAAATTGCTTTATCAGCTCATTGCAAAGTTTTACCTCAAAACTCTTCTCTTAAAACACGATATGATGACCTACTTAAGCTATTACGAATATATAGACAAGAAATACCAAGGTATAAACTAATTTTTGCTTTACATTTTATAGGTTCTGTTTATTTTCATATTAATGTCCATGATCGAGATTCCACTTCACATGTTGCTATTGGAATTGGTAATGAACCTAGTATGGGCTCACAAGACACCTCCCAAAATGTAATTAATTTTTAGCATACAGAATATGACTTATGTCTCAAAAAATGTTCTAATTTTTTTATGAGTATTCAAATACTGTAAAATTTTAACACCCTTTGCAAACTTTTTTTTACTATTCTTATTGGAAATGATCAAAAATTTGTAATTTTCCACTTATTTCTAAGCATCTATTTTCACCTATAATTAACAATTTTATATCGAGGCATTTAAAAGAAAAATTTGATTTTATTCTATTCTTAACAGTTCATTTTACCATACATTACGCAGTTTCATTTAACAATTCTGAACTCTCAAGATTAATGAATATTAGTATTTTTCTGTTCCCTTAAGAACATTTAATTATTTTTTATAGGCATGTGTTTAGTTAACATGCTAAAATTAGTAAGAAATTGTTATTCATCAGAAAATTTCTATGTATTTTTTTGTTTTTTTAATTAGGTAATTTTTTTTTATATAATAATGCTGAACCTCTGAAAGTTTTGTTTGCATTAACAATTCTTTTGTAATAAATTTAAAAATTGATTCTTATAAAATAAAATGAAATTAATCAAGTTTAATAATTTATCATCAGTTTTTTCTCTGGCTGTTGTTTTTTCGTTGTTGGGTTGTTTCTGGTTATTGTTTATAGTAAGTCAAAAATTAAAAACAATGACTGTCTTTAAATCTTGTGCTGATTGGTAAGTATTTGTACTGCAATATTATTAATTTCCAATGTGAAAATAAAGGAATCAACTTTGTTATACTTGTGTGAAATTATAATCAGTATACAAAGTACCTTTTATTATTATAAATGTATCAAAAATTATATTATTATAAATATCAAAAAATTGTACCTCTTACAAATTTTGTTGCTTACATAGATTTTTTCTTGTGACTTTCCATTGTTTTTTTTAAATTAAATGTTTTAATTATTAATGAGTCCAAGACATAAAATATTAACTAATGCTGAATGTTATTTTTTTCAAAAAAATAATAATAAATAAAGCTTTGTAATTAGTATTATTTTCACAACAGAAAGATTAGGCTAAATTTAATATTTTAAATCATTTTAAAATCTATGAAAAATTTTCTTTCATTTGGCAGTAAAACTAACTTCAAAAAGTTTGAAATGAATTTGCAACAAGAAAGATATGATTATGTCAGTCTATACCATATGCTAATTAGATAATTTTAATTTGTTTTCAGAGAATTAATCCTTGGTTATTAAATATGAGACGTCTTTGTTAACACAATCTTATAATGTCCTTTTTGTTATTAAAAGCTGTCTATTATCAACCGTAAAATACAGATAAAGCGTCCCCTCCCTAATTTTGAGGAAAATCCCCGTGCTGTAGAGGGGAGCGAATCAAGAGTACTGAATAAAATGCAAAACGTCGTTTTACGAAAACTGCTATATTTGATTGGGCATAATTAAATATGAATTACAAAAAAATTAAGCAAAATAAACCAAAAATAATTGTAGCAAAAGGAAGTAAATATAAATTTTAATTAGTAAATCTAACTTACCTTCTCCATCAATACATGCAAATAGGTAAAAAAAAAACTCTGCAAGAAAAAATAAAAAAATATGGACACCAAACTATACCAGAAAAAAAGATAAATTATCTATTTACATTAATCAGAATTCGAAAATCTATCGAAAGAAATATTGGAGTCATCGTCCACAATAAGATCAATGCACTCTTTATTCAGTTCACTGGTAATATCAATATCATTGTCTATAGATCCGACATTAACTTCTGCTAATTGGAAATTAAAAACCCCATTTTTGCTTCCATCTAATGCATTGAAAATACTATAATACTTAAATGAGTTTGAGCGCTTCGCTTCGTAGACAGCCTCTCAGACAGCCAATGCAAAAGCTTCGCTTCATAGACAGCCTCTCAGACAGCCAATGCAAAACCAATCACATCTTGCCAAGTTGGCCTTTTTAGATTTCTGACAATGAAGAGCACCCATTGTCTTCTTCATGCACTTTTAAAGGGTGCCATCTACTAAACATCTGCTGGCTGCAGAAGGCTCTTGCATCTTACCAGAAACTATATCTGTATCCAAACTTTTAAATTTTTCAGAGAAACTTGAGGTTCTATGAATTAAGGCCCAATCCAAGATAATTAACCTCCAAACGTCATCCTTATTTGGACCCCAAATCTTCGTTAACCAACTTTTCATAAGGTTAGCCGTTATTCATCCATTGACAAATCAGGTAACCTTAATGTCGCCTGGTATTTTTAGGCAATTCTAAGAAAGAATCACTCCCTTTTACTCCATATCTCTTCCATTCAATTCCGCTCCTTTTCTATTCACATTTTTCTTCCCTACTTAGGACACTTCTAAGAAAGACGTTCTCTTCCTTTAACTCATTCTTTCACATTCAAATCTCCCACCCCATCTTAAAATTTACCCCTTCCTTCTTGCAAGCAAGCATACATATTATTCTACATGATTTTGATCTACGTGCAGCGGGGAGGAAATGTTGAACACATTTGCAGAGGATTGCTTCCCCTTCTCTTCCCATACTTTACAAACACCTGCACTTTTGTTATCAATCTTCAATTCAGTTATTACTGTTATTGATTAATCCTCTTCCTTCTTCCTCCAATCATTGTTCATTTATGGTATAACATTAATCTTCTACCCTAAATATTAGACTAACTATTTTTTGGAAACAAATTTATAAAGAAATTCTTAAAATAAGAATTTTTAAATTGTGTTGAAGGAAAGGGGTGCTTTTTTGGTACTGATTGACAATTAGTATATACGTGAAACTATCGGGGGTGTTTATCCATATTTTACAGTAATTTCCTATGGAATGATATAAGTTCAATTCACATGAAAAGTTTAAAAAAAAAAACAGTTTTCAATTGGGATTTTTAGACATAATAAAATTTTTGTAATCTTTTTAATTTAAACATCTAGCATACAAAAATATAACCAGGCTTGTTATTATTTTTTTTTCTTCTTTACAGATCATTTATTGACGTCATCAAATTACTTTTACAAGTGTCTTCATCTTTTGATCCAACCCATCCTTTGCCTATCACAGATTGTGGATTGCCTTTGCCATCGCCTCATCAATTACTGTTGCACCATATTCATACAATACCTTTTCCTTCGTATTTTCCTGTTTTATACAATTTTTTACTCCATCTTAATAAATTCTCTGAAGAAATACAACTTCACTTTGAAAGAAGTCTTTATGAGCCGGATGTAATAAAGGACCTCGAAACAGCTTCGAAGAAAAAGGTCAGTAGTTTCTTCTTGCTCTACTTTTAGCATTAGATTGAGTAGCATAAATTTAGAAGAATTTTAAAATTGACAAACATTAATTTATATTAGACAAATACATCTGCAAGCCTATAATTTTTGTACCATGAATTTAAAATTTAGTATTAAATTAATTAGTTTGAAATTTAGTGGCAAATACTTATGATTCTACACAGTAATTTTAGTTATTTATTTATAGGTTTTATATGCTTTGGATGAATTGCAGAAGCTTTTGCCTGTATTAAATGGAGAAGGCATTAACCTTGTTACTCCTTACATCCAAGAAATGTTTTCTTGCTCTCATACTGCTTTACTTTCAACATGGCATTTATTTGGTTTTATTGCTCAAATTCTTGGACCTTTACACACTTGCAGAAAATTTCTAAAACTTTTGGTGAAAGTATTTGAGGCTGATAAGACTTCACAAAAGCACTTAAAACTATATCATCGAACATTCATTTTACAACTCATTGTTGGTTTAGGTTTACATAGTTTTTTGATTCATTTTACAACCATTTTAATTGAAGCTATTGGAGGCTGCAAAGATTACACATATACATCTTTAAAAAGGTGTGTATTATTAACTCTCCTAGTCAGGCCTACTCATTTCCTTTTTTTTCTTAAACAGTTGTATTAATGTGAGTTTTGTCTTAAATACTATAGATTAGACAAGACAGTAAAAAAAAATTCTTTTAATTTTTTATTACTGAATTTAAAGGGTAAATTCTTGGAAAAAAAGCTATCACTAAATTGCCAAAATTAGACAAAAAAATTAAATTCTGAAGGAAAATAACCCTTTGGAGAGAAAAGATATGTGACCAATAAAAATTATAATTGCACAACTTCTTATTTCTTATACTAATGTATGTATTTTCAGCTTACTAAGTAGTAGAGATGTGTTTGTATCAGCGTGTTTATTAATTATTACCAAGTACTTTAAATGTATACATCATGAGCTGAATGAGTTCAGTTAATATCAATTACTTTCTGAACTAAGAAGTTTAGTGATAAAGCCACAAAACATGTTAAAAAATTAAATTAATTTAATCTTATCTAACTATTTAGCATACAGATGGCAGTGCCACATTAGAGTTCTGCTTCTGGATTAGCGTAAGCAATTAAGTCCAATAACACTTTTCTGTACCCTTGGGCCATATAAATTTGGTAACAAGTATTGAGTCAAAAAAGGAAGTTTTGTCACCAGTTTCATTCATACTCTATATCCAGTAAAAACAGTGATAGTTTTATATTATAATTTTACATCCCCCTATTAATTAAGGTTTAAATTAATATTGATGTGAATCTGTTACAAGAAGTATCAGGTTTTTGTAATTGATAAAAATGTATCAGTTTGTAACTGATACTATAAAATGGTATTTCCCCATCTCAACCAAACAGTACTCTTTAGAAAACATGCAAATAAGAAGTTTTTTTATTATTTTATTATCAAATTATTATATCAACTATTTTGAAAATATGACCTCTTAAAACAAATTATAAAAGGAACAATATTTTTAAAATATTTAAATTAAGAAAAAATATATTTGTAGCATATAGATATTACATTTTAATATTAAAATTAAATAAACATTTAACTTCCTAAAAGATACGGTGAAAACTCTAGACAGCAGTGAGAGGCTTTCAAAGTGGGTTGACTGTTTTTATTATTTAAAAAACTAGCTTGTTTTTTTAATGTTTTTAATACTAATTTAATTTTTCATTATTTATGAATCAAACTAAGCCAGATATATTTATTAATAAAAAATTTAAATTTAAGAAAGAATCAAAATTTAAATTGAAACAAAGAATCAATGAGAAGTTGAAACAAAAAAATAATAAAAATTTGAATGGAAGCAAATGAAAAATATGAAATTTTTTCATACATTTTTTTTTTTAATTTTGAGTTTCGTTGCTATTGTGAATCTGTGTTACTTTAAATATTCATAAATATGAATTTTTGAATTGTTTTAACCTTGCATTCCTGTGAAAATGTCCATAAAATAAATTAATGTGAGTCAAGATTAAATTATGATGTCTTTAGAAATACTTAAAATGAAATATAACGAAACCAAATCCATATTCTGATAACTTTTCAACAATGGAGCTGTTTAAATAATGTACTTATGAGCCCATTGGTTGTTAAGCAAATGGGCAAAATTGGAAGAATGCTTTTCCCAATACACTATTTCCCATAAAAGACTGTGGGTTAAAATACGACTTTTCGCATGCAAAGCTGTCACTAGGTTAAATGAGTTGAATGATAAAATGAGGTTAAATTATAAAAAGTTAATGAAACTTTTTTCATCTTGTCAAAAACACATTTATGCTTGCTACAATCAAAAGCATGAATGGAAATGATGCACTTTTTGAAATTTTATTCATTATTGTTTTCTGTTATGGATTTGAAGAAATTTGCATTGTATATATGCATAATGTTTTTATTCATTGTTGTAATACTTTTAAGTTATATATATATATATANAACTGTTGTTTGTTATTTTTTTACTCATTATATTTCCCCCTTTTTTCATATGTCTATAATTTTTCTTTGTTTTATTCTTCATTTTGAACTTATATATATGTATATATATATATATTATATTTCAAAACAAAAATATTCCAAATTTATTTATTTTAATTCAAAATTCTTTCATTTTCTCTTATGTTACTATCTAAACTGTTCATGTTATTACTTTTAAATATTATTCGACCTTTTTGAACAAACCAAAGGATAAAAGCACACATACACAATATTAACCAAAAAATCTGGTTTAAACAACAACAAAAATGTTTTTTTTCCAACCCTGTTTTAACACTTTCGCTACCGGAACGTCTGAAACGTCTCGTGAACTAGACTGCCGAAAACGCCCGAAGTGCCCAAGAAACTAGTTAGAGATTCTTCCCCTATTTCGAAAAATGACACACAATGAGGGAGGTGTGGCAGTAATCGTCCTTGAAGATAATTTGCAAAAAGGGGAGAAAGTGGAGGGATTTTTAACAAAAGTTTGTTTCATATCATTCTGCTCTTGTAAAGTTGTTTTATCTTGTCTTTTTTATATAAACGAAAATTTCTTTTCGCCGCAAAGGTAATAAAATAGTTTTCAATGATGAGACAGATGAGTCTGATTTTAATGAATCAGGGGATGAAGATGAATTCGATGATGTAGCACCAACTGACACTACTATTGCCGCTAACGGACTTTTTCTGACAATACTTCACGAGAAAAAGTTAAATGAAATATTTTATTGTATAAATAAAACGAAAATCTCATAATCTTATAATTTATAGCTAAGAAATTTAGTATTTTTTAACTTTGCAGAAAGACAGAGAGAGATGTAGAAACAAATATAAACTCAAAATTAATTAACCTAAACTATGAAGTTGTCTACTTCTTTTTATCAGAACTTTCTTGATCACTTACGTTGAAAAGAAAATACTAGAGTAATGGTGTCAAAAAAAAAATTTAAAAACATTAAATTACTCAGTTATTGTGTCTTTAAAAATATATCGATTGTTCAAAATAATTAACTGCTAGAAATTTGCAGTGTGTTTAGAAAAAAGAAATAACATTAATTTAAAAATTTATTAATTAGTTTTTCTACAAGACTGAAAGATTACTAAATACAATTAATTATAATTCTATTTTTAAATATAAAATAAATAGGTAAACATTATTTTTTTAAAATTATATCGTAGTCTTTGATGTCTTACAAAATGGTTTTTATATTTATAATAATAGGATCCAGGAGAAGAAACTGCTTTGGTGGGTACCGAAACTATTCTTTGAAATTTGAACTTTATTCTGCATTTGTAGTTCGACAGCTGTAAATCATAATTCACGCTGTCTTGCTGTTTATGAATGCCTCGCTATTTTCACCTTTTCAATGCTTGTTATTACTTAGGTATTGCACTTGAAGCTGCAACGACCCATTTTTTTATTAATCGTTAACACCTGGACTAACAACACGAATGTTTACTAGTGGAGAATGCGTTGGTGTCAAAACTCTTAAAATAGTTAAATCTCCATGAATTTATTTATTTTCAATTTTAAACGTTATCTTCCTACGAAGGGGATTCTTTGCTGGAAAATAATACGTAGTTAACTGTAATTTCTCATAAGCTTATTCTTTCCTTCATAATGAATGTTCTATATTCAGCTGTCAGACCACCCATTACAAGTTACTCATTCCATATTACAAGTTACTCATTCATTTTTGCAGAAGATAAGCGTTATCAGCATAGCTTCTAAAAGCTATTGTTATATGAAAAATGACATGTCATATTGTAGATTTTCTCTATTTTTACTTGAAATTGGGACTGATATCTTTGTTATCAAAATTATGTTGTGGTAGTGTAAGAAATGCCTTCTATATTCCTCTTTTCTTTCAAAGAAATGTCTTGTCACCACACCCATGTCACCACACCATATGTTGATAAACAAATGCATATTCCGGACTCTTCAGTAAAATGCAGACATTTTTAGTCCCATACTCAAAAAGAAATAATTACAAGTAAAACGAGACAGAAAGATAAGTCTGAGGCTAGAAAGCAGAGTTGAAAAAGGAAGTAACTGTGTTCGCTAGCATGCGTAAAGAATAGCTGTCTGGCTGATTAAGGAGGTTAAAAAATTATGCATTAAATATAGTAGTTAAATATGGATTATTAAATATAGTCATTAAAAGCTTTTAAAAATGAAATTAAAAAATACTAATAATAAGTAAATAAAAATTTTGAGATTGTAAATATATATATATCTATATTTTCTAAACTTTGGATATGTTGTTACATAGTTAAACACTTATTTTGTTTGCTTGTAAGTCACTTTTTTAATTTAAGATAATTTTTCAATGATTAGATTTTTATTAAATTACACATAAACTTACTTTTGCCAAATGATTAGCAATTATTTATTAAAATTTAAATGCAGTTTTATTGTTTTTATTATGAATATAATTTTTGTTTAATCAATTTACTTAATTACCCATATTTATTGCATTTTTATTTTTAGCGACAATATTTTAAAAATTTGTGAGAAAAATGATCAAAAAGGAGGACACGTGGAAAAATTACAGTAAAAATGGATGCTACAAAAAAGAATATAAGATATTCATCTAAAAAATATTGAACTACAGATTTTAGTAAATACAAAATTACAGCTTGAGGAATTTTTCTGAAATACTATGAAAGTATTCTGACAATACTTTTATTTTATTCAATAAAATGTTTTTATTTCTACAAATTACTACATATAATCAGAGCGCATTAAAAAGCATACTTGGAATGCAAAAACTAAAATATTTTTATATAAATTATGGAAAGACAGATACAAAATTTGGCATCTATTTCGAATCGTTTACCTTCAAATAATTGAAAATTCGTTAAACGATTTAGATTATTTACAAGAACCTTATAACAAATAAATTTATTTATTATTATTCCTTTAAATTTTCAGATTTCAAAATTTTTTCCCACTCACCAAACTGAAATTTACATAAAAATATACTTTATAGATAAATGATTTATTTGAAAAAAAATTTTACTTTTTGATTTTTTAAAATTTATATAGAAATATTGTACTTAAAATACTATTGTTAAAATAGTTCTTCAGCAGTTTTTAAAATTTTTGTACAAGTTTGCAAAATCTTTTATGGTGCAGCGCTAGATGGAATATTATTTACAAATGAAAATTTCACTGAAATGAATTTAGTGTAGGCTAAAGTGAAAAATATTTTTTTTGTACCTTGGGGTGAAATGAATAGTTTCTGGGGATAAAATTTTTAATATTTTCAGAGCTTTATGAAATAAAAAGAAAAGTTTATCTTATTTCAAATTAAAAAATTATATAAAATAAGACACACATTTTGGTTGAATGAATATTTTTAATGCTAACACCAAATTAATTTCTCCTTAATGACTGATGTTAATTTTAAATGTTGGTTTCTAGGAAATTAAAAGTTTATTTTTCAATCATTTAAGTTATTGAATTATATTAGTTTTTACTTTACAACGAAAAAAGGATTTTATTTGTGCGAGAATATCATTTTCAATTTAAGTGCTTCATTTAGAAATTTTATTACTTGATTGCATGGAATTACATACTTAATTTTCTATATAAATAATAAAATTTTAAAAAAAATGAAAGCATTTATTAACATTTTATAAATCTTGCTATGTTAGCGATATTCTTGCTTTAAATAATGTCTTTCTTCCCTTTGAAAACCTATTTTGGAGATATTTCCGCAGGTGAATAAGGAGAAGATCAGTCATTCCAGAGTAAAGCTGGGGGTAGGAACTTTTTGCCACCTGTTTTCCAACTTCGGGCGTTTGCGGTATTCTGGGCATGTTGAGGTTTAGGTCGCTCGGTATTCAAAGAATTAAGGGCTTCAAATAAATTGTAAATTAAAATTTTTTCTTTCTAAATTTATATATATTGAGATGTATGGAAAATATATGAAAGAAGGTTAATACATTTAACGGCAAAAACTAATGGCAGAATTGCATATAATTTTAAATTCTTTATTGTGTGTCAGCAAATCTATAATATTTATGTTGCTTTTCAAACAAAAAACTTATTGTAATTTGTTTCAATATTAATATTTATTTTTTATGAGTTTCTTTTTTTACAGTTCTTGAACAGCCATAACTTCATGTTACAAAATAAAATTAAACCTTTGAATCAAAGAAAAATGTTTTACATCAGAAGTTAAACCTTCCTTTAAATTGCTGACCGAATATTCTCAATAATACTCCATTTTTATTTTTATTCACTTCTCAGAATGCTTTGTTTTCCTTTACTGAAAGTTATTTCTTTGTTTAGTTTTGCCAACAATCAATTCAACTGTTGAATATTGATTGAAAACAAATTTATGCAATGTTTTTAAATTTGGTTAAAGCGGTAATTTCCAAACAGTAATTGTTTTATTGAAAGAATTTAAAACAAGAGTTCAAAAAAAAAAATATTAAATTGATAATAAGTTGCGTGAAAATGTAAAATATTGCAGACAGTAATAATGAAATAAAGTTTTCTTTTCAATAAAATAAATGTGAATTGATTTAACTATAATTAAACATTCCTGTGAGCATCACTCTACAATCACTGATACTTTCCTAAATATTTAGCTAAATGATTATAAATATTTCGTAAGATATATGACTATGTTGAATATGGATATTTTGTAAAAAGGAATGAGTAAAAATCAACTACTCTGTGTCTTTGTCATAAAAATAAAAGTACTTGGAGCCAATGTTAATTTCATATGAGCTATAAATTAAGAACAATGTTTATTTCTTGCCTCCCCTATAAAGTTGAAATCTTTAATATTATGATTGTTTTCATTTATTGAAAAATAAGGGTTAAAAATTAGGTGAATAATGTTAGAATTTTTTTTTCATTTTTAGTGCGGCAGTTCTTTGTTCTGTTACAAATTCTTAACCGATTTTACAGGATTTCAGAGAGATTACTGTGTAGTTTGATAATAGAGATATTTTGTGTCATACTCTATCTAGTCAACTTTTTTCATCCACTGAACTAGTTTAACTATCTATACATGGGCCTGTAATTCTTAACTGAATGTTTCTTATGTATTTCTTTTTTATTTTAAGTCCAATTAAATCAAGGAATTAAATTGTTAGAACTCATATTTTGGTAGTTATGAGATTAGAAATTTAATAAAAATATCTTTTAATAAGACTAAGATTATTTGTTAAATGTTTTGAAATGGAACTTTTTCTACCAAAAATATTTTGAATAGCATAATTCAAATCTTAATTAATATCATTCAAATATAATAATTCAATAATAATAAGTTAATATCAATGTTATACTTTTTTTAGCAATGAGGAGCCCATACAAATTGAAGAGGAATCAAAAACATTGGAAAAAGGATGTCTCGATACAAATGTATTAGATGGAGGTGCAACTGTTGAAAATAAAGAAATACTCGATTCAGATTTGAGCAAAGAGGTATTTTAATGTCTTAGTACTGTAGAGATTATTTCATTATTCTTTAGGTTATTAACTTTAACCTGAACTGATAATATATTTTTTGTTATAACTTTAACTGTCATTATAAAACCAAAAATATTATTTAATGTGAAATATAATGAGACATGTGATTTAAATATATTCTTGAGGAATCTTGAATTATATTATATGACTTTGAAATGCTTTTTACAGAAATAGTATCATTGAGTTTTAAGTCTTTCATTGCGACAGATGAGATAACTTGTCTTCCGAGAATAATCCCTGTGCTCTATTGTATTAGTGAATATGGTTATTGATTGCAATTGAATATTATAATATTATTTTTTAAAGTAAAATAGTCAAATTTTCAAGGATTATGCATTTTATTTCAATGTTCGTGCTGCAAGAGAACTTTAAGTGCAGAGGGTGGGATGTATCATTGCTGTGATGTAAGTGATAAAGTTAAAATTTACCCAACAAATATCAGTTTCAATTATAAATACTTTTTTCAAAGTGCACAGAAATAAAAATGAGCACATGTATTGCCAACAAATATGAAACTTGTGCAAAACTAAGCCAATATCTAGTTAGCTCATTTAACTGCTATATTAATGTAACATTGCATGTTCCATTCACATATTTTTTCCAATCAATAAATTCTTGAGTTTAAAACTAATGTTTTATTATTAGCTTATTATTTTATTTTGCACAGAGCAAAATAGAATCTAAATAGGAAAAGTCAACAATAGATATCCGAGTTTTTAAAACTAAATTTTTAACAAAAAATAGTATGTTTAATACGTGCATTTAATAATTACATTGATTAGTTCAGATTAAATTTAAAAGAAATAAAATAACATTTAGTGCCATCATTCTGATATTGAACTCGAAAGATATCTTAGCAAAACTGTCCATTCTATGTCTAGGGAAGAAATTCCAGAACTGCTTCCTATGGTGAATTTTGAATTTCAGCTAATCATAAATTTTTGTTTGACATCACTTCAGTTAATTATGGAAAATCTAGAACAAACAAGCAAAAGAAAGTTAGAAGTAGTTGTAAGAATGCAGGGCAAGTCCATGTTTTAAGATAGTAATTTAGCCTGAATTATTTATTATCACTATGTTAAAAATTATGTAGCTTGCCTTGAAAATTATTTCTTATTAAATTTTCAATGATTTTCTTCTTCTAAAAAACAGAAAGTAACATAATAAACAAAAAAACATTTTCTAGGAAAAATTCTTATGACTAATACATTTTTCCTTCATTAATATTAATTGGCAAGACATTGTTTTGAGTACCTGCTCGCTTTCTTTTTCCAAATCAACCAAACTTTTAGTGCTTTTGTTTGCATATTAACTTAAAGTTCATTTTTGCTCCTACCTTCAACAAAAGAATTCCAGCACTTATACCAAATGTTTAACCCTTTAACGGGCCCTTTATTTCTAGTAAAGGTAAATTAAAGTATTTTTGGAATTGAAATTGTTTTAAGAACGGTAATTGATATTAAAAAAAAACTAATTTTAGTTTACAAAAATGCCATTTTTTTGGTGGTAAATATATTTAACATGACCTATTAGGAACTTACGGACTTTTATTTTTCTTTATTTATAGAATAAATTCCTTAAATGCTACAAACTTCAAAAGGAATTATGTATTTTGTAACTTTATACGTTTTTTGAAAGTGACAAATGGTTACCAATTTTATTCAAACTCACTTCAAGAAAGCTGAAGTTATTGAAAAATGGAAACCTAAATTAAAACTGGTAAAACGTGGTGGTAAGTATACTTACCACGGCCTTCAAAAGGGTTAAAATGAAATATAAAAGTATTTTTTTAGTTGGAAGATTTTTATTTCTCTGTATGATTTGCTTTCTGTTTCAAATCATTTAAACTGTTCAAATCGTTTGTTTTTTGTTCAGACTATTTGTTTCTTTAATGCTATTTATCTAAGCTAAATGTTTGCATTACTTTATAGAAATCGTGGCAAATTAATTAATTCCAATCTTAGCAACAAGAATCAGATCATTGTTTATCCTAATCCCAAACTATCTGAAATTTAACTGACCAGTACTTTTAAAATTTAAGTATTGTTATTATTGTTATTATTTGCAAAATGCCAACCGGAATAATATTTTTTAGTAAAAACTGGAATGTGAAAAATTAATCACACCAGAACTTTCAGAAATAATAAAACTTGAGATCTTTTTCAACATAGTGGACTTTTGTTTAACTTTCACAACTGATGAAAATATCTTAAAACAGAAGATTTTTTATAGTAAGTTTAAATTTGTATAGTTTGTATGTTTGTTTAGCATTTCATATTTTACTATAAAATTTTGCAAAGTATTTTTTTGTACAATGTACCAAGAAAACAGACCATCCTCAAAAACTTTTGATTTAATGATCAGATCCTCACATTCTAGGACTCAATCTTAATGGTTCAAGGAGTTCAGAAAAATTTTGGATCTAATCTCTTTAATAGCTTGCCAACCCTAGCTTCCTTTTTGGTGGTAGACTCAGACAAATTTTGGATGACTTCTACTTTCTCAGGATCTGGAGAGTGAGTGCCAGAACCTATTATATGACCTAAGAACTTCACGTGACTCTTTCCGAAATCACACTTTTCTAGATTTGCGGTTAGACCAACACTTCTCAGAGTTTGAACCACCTGGTCGATGTGGTAGAGATGTTCATCCCAGTACCTAGAAAATATTGCCACATCATCAATGTATGAGCAACAGTAGTGTCTATGGTGAGCTAGTACTTTATCCATGGATTTCTGAAAGGTTCTTCCTGCATTCTTTAAACTGAATGGAAGAGCCTTCCATTAGTAATGGCCAGCATGAGTGACAAATGTTGTATATGGTTTGGCGCTTTCCTTCATCGGGATTTGCCAATACTCCTTCGTTAAGTCGATTACTGTTATCAAGTGGGTTTTTACCTATTTAAAAAAAAAGGTCTTTTGCGATCTTCATTGGACATGCATCAGAAACTGTGAAGCTATTCAGAAATCTAAAGTCAATGCACAGTCTAAAGCTACCATCCCTTTTTGCAACACATACCACAGGATGTGCCCATTCACTGTCACTGTGCTCTATTAGATCCCGTTCTAGTAATTCTTTAACTTGGTGATCAACTTCGTCTCGGAGCGAAAAGGGGACACGATAGGGTTTTAATCTCTTTGGACTGCAGTCTGCTGTAACTTTTATGTCATGACCTTCGACATGGGCTTGACCTGGTTTGCTACTAAAAACATCGTGTACAATTTTAACACATCAAATAGTTCTTTTTGTTGGTAATATTTTAAATCACCTTTCATATTTTGCTAGTGGATCCATAAATCTTCAGTATATTTATCCATAAGATCCGCTGGTGCATAGTGGATATCTCCAAAGTCTTCATCTTGGTTGAAAATGATACCTATATGATCTACTCGAACAATATAAGGCCTCAATTTATTTATGTGGAATTCCCATATACTCCCGTTTTCCATTTCGACTTTGGCAGAGTGGGGTCTGGTAAGTTCGATTACAGTAACTGGTCCTTGCCAAGTATTGAGCAATTTATGAGATGATGATGGGATTAGCATGAGGACTTTGTCCCCAACATTGAAAGCCTTATCCTTAGACCGTAAGTTGTATCTTGATAAACATTCGTCTTGAGAGATTTTGGAGTTTTCAGCTGCAAAGTCATGAGCTTTTCTTATTTTTCCGATAAGATCATGTAGGTAAGTTTCAATTGAGCGGGATGCAGTTACTGGAACGCTACGTTCGCCTGTCCAGATCTCTTTCAACAAGGATAAAGTTCCCAGTGGCAGTCTCCATGCACCATCTGGAAGGGAGACAAACCAGTGGTACTATGTGGCACTTCCCTATAGGCAAACAGAAGATAGGGAAGGTGCAGGTCTCAATTTCTTCCATGTTCTTGGATATTTTTATTCATCATTTCTTTTAAAGTCCTATTCCATGGTTCAATAGCTACCATATTCTTGGTGTGTCCGGGAGTAGAAAATCGGGGTCATACGCCAAGTAAGTCTTCAAAAGATCGGGTGAGTTTGGCTGTGAAATTAGTTCCCTGATCAAAACAAATCATTTTCGGAAATTCAGTTTGAGAAAAAATCTTCATCAGGATGTTGCATGTGGTCTGTGCACTTTTTTCTTTGACAGGGATGGCTTCTGCCCATCTAGTGCATAAATCAACTGCACATATCACAAACCGATGACCTCTTCTGGATGGAGGTTCTAACGGTCCAATGCAATCAACACTCCATACTTCAAAGGGTGTTTCTGGTCTAACGATAGGTTGGATTGGAATTCTATCTTTATATGTGATTGTTCGTTTCAAATGACATTCCTTGCAGCTTTCACAGAACTTCTTAACATCTTGTTTGATAGTAGGCCAGAAAAATGAATATTTAATTTGTTGAATTGTCTTTTTCTCACCGAGGTGACCTGCAAGAAGAATTTCATGGGCCATTCTCAGAACCTCTGTTCTTTTCTCTAAGGGTAACACAACTTGTTTGATGTTTTCGTCACAAATATTCTCAGAGTGAAGTAAAATTTCGTTTCGAACTGTATAAGCATTTTCGTTCCTTTTTGCCCATTCAAAGCATTTTGCTAGACTCTCATCTTGTTCTTGAAGGGTCTTAAAATACAATTTAGTGTAATTTTCCATTCTTGCATTTTTAATGTCCTTTTGCAAAATTTGGGTAATCACAGCACAATTTGAAGTATTTTCTTTCACTGGTGATGGTTCGTGGCTAGAGTCTTCCACCTCTGAAGAGGTATTCAATTGAAGATTACTGTGACAAAGCTCAATATTTTCACACAGTATCTCATGAGCTGAAGAACTTAGCAGCAAATTGGTAACCAGCTTCTTTAAAACAGCACAAGTGATAGGTACACTACCATGAAGTTCATAATTTATTTTCATTTGGAAAATTTTCAGTGGAGTGACTTCGCTTTCCCCTAAAGCAGAAGATATCTCTATTTTACTTTCT